CCCAAAGTTGTCGAAAGAATTTTACATGAGTAGGTTACTATTTAAATTTTATTTACGCACTATTGTAAATAATGTTATTATTTTAAAATATACAATAAAATGAAATGATAAATTAATTTTGAATTAAGAAAAAATATCGATAGTTTATAGTTTGTGGTCACGATGATTCATCACTCATCACTAATTAGGTCAGCATGCCCATAAAGTATGACATTGACAGGTACGTTTCTCCATGATTTCTCCGTGTGTTAAATTCAGAACTTCATAGGCGCGATTTTACTGACAGCTGTCCCAGAGATCAAGCTATCTTTTACGAAGTGTAGTTTCGGAAAATGTAGGTGAGATTTGCCGTAAACAGAGCATGCTCTTTTTTGTGAGGAGAAAATCATCAAATGATTCTCCCGCCCAGGTTGGGGCGAGTAGAAGTGTCAGACTATTACTGACTAAAAACCTCCCCTTTCAGTCTTCTGCTCTAGGCCGAGACCACGGTGCCTTGTCGCGCTTGCCAGATCAAAGCATACTCTAATGGCGAGCGTCTGATACACCCTATCGTCCCACTTAGGCAGGAGAAAGTCTGCAGACATACTGCAAAAGCCCAAATAAAAAAAAAGTTTTTATTCAGGCTACAATGCCAGACACTGGCCATCAAGAACGTTCTACCATAAAGAAATGTTTAAATAAATTAAAAAAAAAATCAAAAAGTTCATTTTACTCGATTTGGATTTTGCTAGCTTAAGTATATACTTATGATCTTATGTATATTATATATAAAGCACTTTTACAATTACAACATAATAATTATACGAAGTACTTATCACCCTTATCATTCAGGTGAAAGGTTACAAGGAACTTAATTATGCTATCTCTAAACAATAACAAGAATTCTCTTGCAACAAATTTCATTCTACTGTAATTTAATAGACTAGCTTCCGCCCACTGTTTTGTACGTGTATAAATAAAAACAGCAGCGTTTGAAGCGATAACTTGAGTAAAAAAAGTTAATCAATTACAATTTACAGCACTCAAGAAACATTGCAGGTATCTATGAGTGAAGAAATTTTGTTTTTAATTAGATCATCCTCTACATACAAACAAACCAATTTTACCTCTTCATAATATTATTAGTATAGATATAATAAAAGATTCTGTATTTCGTATGACCTATGGCATTATGTTTGTTAGTCAAGAAAAAATATTTTTATCACACTTTAATTGAAATAAATGCTTCGACCCTGATCGTTTTCAAATGATAACACCACCATTGTACCTAAGTAAGTACCCTTCTTTTGTAATCAACCTCTTTGCTTGGGTCAATGGTAGGTAGGTAATTATATAAAAAAGAATATTAATTTTATTTTAGCAAATGTCCAAGAGCTAATTAATATATTATAACAATAAGAAAAATATCTTATATTATATTATACTCCTTAGGAGCTGCATGCACGTTTAGCGAGATTCTGGTTAATGTCGTCCAAAAACTGACTTTTTATCAAAACTTTAAGGTTGTATTTACCTTAATACTACTCTTTTTTCCACAAAGCCTGATGGGACAAGGCTGTGACCTTTGTGGGTCGTGAGTTGCATCAAATTGATCATAAATATGAAGGTGACGTCATATTAAAAAAACTGGTCAAAAATTTTATAAATATATTTTGACTGCGTACAACTTGAATTTTTGTAGATTATAGACCATTTGTATAAACAAAATTGCAACTAGGTATTTGCGATTGTGTACCCAACAAGTTTGAATTCGTTTATTTTTCTTTTTAGAGAATAAAAATTTATAATTTATTTCTTTCAACCCATTTTCCTCGTTATAGGGGGCTGTCACCTACAACCACCTTAAAATAGCGATTTAAAATAAGAAACAGACAAAGAATTAAGTAACTTGTTTAGCCAACTACGGATATAAAGAAATGTTTTAATATTATATGATATATTTTGAAAGCCCGAGACAATAGAAGAATAATAAGTACGCCAACGCCGGCGTTCGCTGGGTGTTTAATGAATTAAAATCCCAAAAGCGTTGTCTTGGTGAGCCTAATCGTATTAAATCGCGAGCAAAACATCAGAGTTAATTAGGTGAGACCTACAAATGACAGGAAAAGCCTTCAAACTCTAGGTACTTACAAACATTTCAATATTAGGTATGTATTTGTGTTTTACAAACTAGTATTCAGCTACTACTTCAGGTACATACTTGAACCACACTTAAGCAATGTAAATAAAGAATATATAGAACACAGCTTCTTTAACCATTATTTCCTTCCACCTACGCAATACATTATTTACCTACAGCGCTTGACAATGTAAATCGGCCTTTAAATGAGGTAATTGCATCCGCTGTACCTACTAAAGAAATGTATATAAAACGGATAATTGGGGTTAATAATGTTAAGCGTATGATATCATCGCGAAATATTCACAGTAAACAATGTTTTACTTGTACCGTCTTACATAACGGTCTGTGGTTGGTATAACTGGCTGGCAGACGAAACTAACTAACCTACCTACTTTCACATAAATAAATAAAAAAAAAACATCTTTTAAATTTAAGTTTCAAATTTAAATTTCTCAGTTCTAGAATGTTCGGGAAAAAATTGCTCCCTATCTGCAAAATTATCACTAACAATTTTTAAATAATTCATTTTATCAATTTTTAAATGAGATGCATAATTTTTACTTACAATCTTGTTAAAATCGATGATTTAATTCATATTATTGTTATATTGGTCATGACTTAATTGTATCCATCCACAAAAAAAACGGAAGCCAAAAAAACATCTGATCTACGATAAAATATCGACAACGATTTGCGAAAACGGCTAAATAAAATTCGCGTACATATAACACACGCACAGCGGTAAAATAGAAAATATACTTACATTCCCTGACATAGCTCTTGCTGTTGTAGTAGCAGACGACTTTGGCTGGGGCGGCAGGGCCGGCGGCAGCCGAGATGGCCAGAAGCCCGGCTAAAACGACTAAAACCTTCATGATTAATAAATAACTATGCTAAATGACTGATCACCACGAGGCGTATGTGGCGAATGAGCCTCGAACGCCACCGCGCTTACAAGATGCTATAACTATAAGGTCAAAGATTAACATGACCGCTTCAGATTTCGCCGAATCGTATCTATTTGTTGTTTTAACCTCCTTCTCCTCAGAAATGATAAACAAGTCTTCAACATAGGTACGTTGTGTACCTAATTTGTTTTAAATTATTTATTATAAATTTCGCTATCAATTTTTTTAAAGACCTTTTGCGCAATTTCTTCTTTTACGACTGTCTTGCTAAACCAATCATATGTAGACTGTCTGTCTTATTAATTAAATCAATCTACAATCAAGTAAAAATAAAGTAGCATACCTATATTTTACGTAATTGTATGAAAAATCAAGTTGCTAACGCAATTAGGTATAATACGGTACTTAACTTAGTCTATGTCTGACCAAGCCTGATGATGTCATCGATTGTACCAGTAGAAAAGATTTCACGTAGGTAACATACATAATGGTAGTCCGTACTTGTCGAATGCAAGGCAGCAGCAAGCAAACTGGTTACATCTCAGGGTCCCAAAAGCGTGTTTTACCAGCCCATAAAATACCTATTTTTATTATGATCTTAATCTTTAGACTTTACACTTCGCAAGTAAAGTTTTTTTTTTGTTTTTTGTCCAAATAAAAATCGTTAAAAAAAAATGACGTGTATTTAAATATAATCATTTTGTCGAGGTCCACTGCTAAGCATTATTTTTTTTCATGGTACTAGATGCAAGGTCGTTCAAATAGGAGTTGAAGGTTCACTTTATAGTGGACTTTATGTTCTACGCGTGAGAAAGTCTTCTATGCATCTATCCTGCTCCCACAGCTTTTTTTTTTGTTAGTATTCATCGTCGAATAAAGTTTGTTTTCTGATCATCAATAATAAAACCATAATTTACAAAAAACTTACATGTTCACAAGATAATACATAATACAGATGTAACATTTGTAAGTGTACTACGTAGGGGGTTATCTTTGAAACTACTGATCGGTTCCCCAAAATTCTTTCATTGTAGCTGCAACGTTCCTGATAGTTCTAGTCTATAATAGCTAGTTATAGTTAGTATTTATTAAATACAATATAATTAGATTATATTAAATACTGGGTACAACACGAAAATATTATTTAACATTCCGATTTCACCCTCAATTAGATAACTTGTTTACCGAGTCAAAAGGTCGCTCGTTGATACGAACAATCTTAGTGTTGCCACTTTTAAAAGATGTCGGGTTCCAGGGAATCCCTTTTCCCAAGTGACATCTAAGTAATTATATATTTTTTGCGAAATATTAGCTGATATATTGATTCGTGTATTAATAATTTATTTTTGTTGTTAATTAGGCTTATACCTACGTGTTTTTCTGCATATTGGTAAAAGAAGTCTTCACTTATTTTGATGAAAATATATAGGCACAGTTGGCAACAATTGGAAACCTTGATTGAAAACAGTCATTAGTCATGACAGAGTATCGGCGTGGCAATTATTTGGCAGTATTGTTTCATTAACCGTCGATTTTTCAACGCCCCGAGGTACGACCATCAGGAGTCAGAACTGATACAAAATTAAACCAACAAATTGATACCAAAACAATATAGATAAAATTAAAACAATTACTGCTCTGGTCACAGCAGTTATTTATTAGTTTAAATTTCCTTATTCCATGGTACGAGTATGTTTTAAATATATATAAACAAAGTCAAATCATTTATTTCAAAAAGATATACAACCGATATCATAGAAACATATACAACCTTGGCCTATATTGAGCACCCATATAATCTTTGTGTGTATTTTACTATTAATTACTAGAAATTTAACATTTCGTGGGTCCACCCTTTGCTTTATTACGACAGGAATTTTCTTACAATTTGTAGCATCAATCGCGTTCCATTCTAAACACACACAGTTTAACCCTGCTCTTTAAAATGTCCCATAAATGTCCTATAGGGTTCAGGTCTGGTGACTGATCTGCCAGTCAAGCAGTTCTGTGTAATTTGACGATAGTCTTTTAACAGTCACAATAACTTCAAAAGACAAATTTAATATTAATTTAATTTTTTCAAATTTCTGAAGTTATTTAACTTCAGAAAGAACGTGACATACCCTATATTCAAAAATATGCCAAAAATAAAGCAAAAAATATTTTAATAATTAGAAGTATCCGAATACCGAATCGTAGCTTTAGCAAAATCTACGATTACACCTACATTTTCCGAAATGTAACCGCAGACATTTTTCTATTAATTTTGCATGAAATATGTAAAATACGTAAAAATAAATAATGAACGTGAGATTATTTTTGAATACTTTTGTACTTTTTATAAGTTACCAAACTATAAAAGTAACAAAGTTAAGTTAAGGAAACTGCCCAACTGAGTTAGTGTCCAAAACAATTCCATCAGTAGCTGACTAAAGCTCTGAAAGAGCATAACAATGTTCAAGGAAGTTTCAATTATAACCTAAATATAAGTATCCTTTGTATTCAAGTTATAAACTGCGTAGGCGCACATGTTTTTCAACAACTAGTGCGCGGTGACTAAGTGGGTCTAAACAATCAGTTTCCATATTACCACGTACCTGTACCAACATATTGTGCTTGTTTGAGATTAAATTCTTGATAACTAAGTACATATTTGTACTTGGTCTTAAATAGGCAACGTTACTTGGAATTGAGTACTTACTTAGTTAATACTTAGGATTTAGGATGTGACTACAATTATAAACTTCTTAATTTAAAACCATTGTCAATACACATCATGGACGGACGGGGATGTCAGACTCTTACTCAATAAAAACTACAATTTCTTCTCCTTCTCTACTCCAAGGCTAAGGATCTTAGGTGGAAGCTCTTTATTCTAAATGCTAATCAAGACACATGGTCATGACAATCAATTAAACATATCATCAACCCGAATACAAGAACTGACATGCTAATGTCCCTAATAATTGAAGCGGCAAATTATCAAAGCTCTACTCGCGCCCGGTGCAAGAGTGTCAGACTCTTAGCCTAATATTCCTTCTTCATTATTATTATTATTTCATTATTGCGCTTGCACCCACCCCCGTCTGAAAGGATTGCAATTAAGACACAAATAGTTAAGATTACGCTCAAAAAAGTCACATTGGTACTGTCCAGGTTTCGGATCCATTCATAAAAAGCGGGTGACTTAACCTCCGGGCCACGACTCACCGCTTCTTCAGTACGAGGGTGCACACAGGGTAGACACCACTGACATACGATGAAGGATAACATCGCGAGGAAACCAAAAAGTAAATTGTGCCTGAGCAAAGCTGTTCTTCTCACATGTAGAACATGTGAGAAGAACAGCTTTGCTCAGCAGTGGGCGCTTGATGATGATGACGCTGCTATTTTTTTTTAAAAAAAAACGTTGCCCCACATTAGGATTTTCCTCCTGTGTCGTGGGGTACGTTTACAAACATACAAACTCACATACGCAGGACACCCAGACCCGGAACTACAATTTGTGGATCACACAAAGAGTTGTTCCGTGCGGGATTCGAACCCGCGACACGTTGCACGGCCGCCAGTTGACCAGCCACCGCAATTATCAGTACAGTAATATTAATGCTTAGGTGTCAAGATGCAGTCTTTAAAAACAAATTGTACGTTATCAATAATACTCAATGACGACCTCAAGCTAAAGGCCAAGAGGAAAATGAAAGTAGGGAAAGAAAAAAAGTTGGTGAGTTTATAGAACTTAAATATTTTCAAATACATAAAACATTGTTGGCGGAACGAGTAGCGGTGTGTTGTGTACTGGATGTGAAATACACGTAATCTATTTTCTATTACAGTTGTCTTGTAAAATATTCTTGACTAATGATTCTTAACATAATTAACTATAAAGTTATCTTACATTACATTATCAGTCCACTAATGATCGAAGGCCTCCTCTTACAGAAAGGTTTAATCTTTAATTACGCTTGCTCATTCGCCAAATTGTAACTTGTCATTTGTAAATGTACAACCAAGTTCAAGTTTTCCACTACCACAAAATTCACATTGGTATTTTCCAGGTTTCGGTCCCGTCGGCCACTCTTCGCTTCGCACGGGTCTCCAACTATTTCGCTAACGCTGAAAGGATCCCTACTTACCAGATCTTCCCTCTGCTTTTCTAAAATTTTACCTTCCCCTAACTGACAATAATAAACTTTAAAAAAAAATTGTAAAATTGGTATTCACAAAATTGCTTGAAAAAGATTATTAAGCCATTGTGAATGCCTATATTTACTACCAGTGAATTAGACCATAAATTAAGTAAGTTTTTGACCGAATGACCACTCACATTTTATTTAAAACAAAATTAACTGGCGAGCTACGTGACACTGTCTAAGCCTAAACAAATTAAAGTCGTTATTTATTAGGTCCGTACCAAGCTTAATTTATTTTGGAAAGATGTCATTAATCACTTTTTTAAAGATTTAACTAATATTTCAAATTAATCTTTTTAATTCAGATTTCAAAAAGATATACTTACTTACTTTTTATAATGATTTCTATTCATATTATAGAAAAAAGTTATCATAACTTATATTGAGGAATGAATTTTAGTCTGCCAGTGACATCTAGTAGGCAGTAGCGTTAAATGTGAGGTTTGCTTTAGTTAGAGACAAAAACAAAAAGATGGCGTTGTTTTGTGTGTTATAAATGTGCAAATTCTAATTGTTTCTGGTTTAAAAATATAATGTTTTTTTTATTTATTTATTAAGCTTTATGCACACAAATTTCTGTACATAGGCGGACTTAATGCCGTAGGTTTTTTTGATTTTGATTGTTGCTGTTGTCTAAAATCTCATCATCAAATAATCAGAACACAAATATATTCAAATATAACAATGCAGACGTCATTAATAAATTGTAGGTAGGCATTTCAAGTGACCAATACACGATATAACTGCAAATATTGCCATATCATTAATCCTGTTTTTCCCACGAAGTTATATGCACAAGCTTATTAAAATGCCTTAATAAATACTGTTAGCACAATGTGGTGTTCAAACAGCCAAGGTATTTTTAGTCTGTTCTGTTTAAGACAGTTTGCTCAGAAGATTTCTACATGGGATTATTGTAGGTAGGTACAATAAATCAAAATGAGTCATCAATTATCATGAGTCGCGAGAAATTGTATAGGTTTCACATTTTATATTTTATTAATATCTGTCTGTAACATATCCCATTTTTGTTACTGACTTGGTCTTGTCACTGATTTACTGATGATGATCTAAATTGTTAAAGTGCCTCCTAATGTCCTGGAAGGTTGAGGTATTAGCTAGTAAAAAAACGAATTGGTCCTAAAACTTACTACTAAGTAGGTACTTTTGCCTACACTCCCTCACGTTTGAATCGTCGGCGTCGGGGATCGTCATCCACCGTAAGCGCGAGTCTACGGAACTCGAGCAAAGGGCCGTCCGGACACCCGTGGTAAGGGTTGCTTTGAGGATAAAGTTTATAAGACGTATTCGCATTTTCTGATAGAGCTCGGAAAATTAATATAAAGCCTTTGTTTGCACAAAAAATTACCGTTGTTCTCCAACCAAAGAGTAAATACGGGAATTCTGTTACTAAGACTCCGTTGTCCATCTGTCTGTCTGTCTATCACCAGGCTGAGACTTAAGGATTGTGAGAGCTTAGACAAAAATGTTTTTATTGCTGCTAGAGAAATTTAGACAAAAATGTTTTTCTGTTGCTGCTATAAACACAAATACTTAAAACAAAACAAATATTTTAGGGACTTTTTTCTTGCAGAAACCTTCGGGCGTTACACACCAGTTAGCACTTTACCTTCCTAATAATGCTAAACACTAATATGTACCCATTAGCTGAATAGAATACGAACTACAATGAACTCAGTTAAAAATAAAACAAGAAGAACAGTGGAACATAATATGGTGGTGGTATGCTTGGATTGATCACCGCCGCCGCTTCCTCAGGGAAGTGAACGGCGGCCTTACGCGTGCCTCGCGTAGCGTTCCGAATAGACTAGGAAAAGGAATGGGGGTTTTTAGTCGGTAAGAGTCTGACACACTCCCCCGCCCTATCCAGGGCGGTATTAGTGATATGATGATTTTCCCCTTACAAAAAGCCTTACCCTGGGCCAAAGATTTTATAATTTTCCCTCTAAAAAAACTTATTCTTGACTAGATAAAGTACGCATCGCAAAGCTATCTTTACATAATCTAAAGCATCAATTGATTGTATTTATTTATTTGTAAGTAAAATAAGTTGGCAGACAACTAACTTTATAAATCAAATCAAATCAAATCAAAATCATTTATTCCAACTAAACCATAAATAGGTACTTTTGAAACGTCGTAGTCTGTCAGTCTGTTCGTCAGTGAAGCTAGGTGGCTAGGTAAATAAAACAAAGAAACGTTTTAATATTTTATTTATAGATCGAGTAAAGTACTTTTACAAGATATGGGTTATAATAGACATCAATTACCATTTAAAACACTCATACCTATGGCAACACTCAGAATTACAACTTTTACATCAACAAGCTTAGAAATTATTACAATAGTAGGTACTATAAGGCTAAGAACTCACGGAGCGATTTTGAACCGTGCCCGCCGCGGTAGCGGAACTGCGGTTTTACTTCCAAACTCACGAGACCGGTTATTTGCGCGGTTACACAGCCGCCGCGGTTGCGATCATCGCCCGCAAACGTGGCGGGCGATGATCGCAAGATTGCAAGACGGGCGGTTAACGATCCGTTGAGGTCCAGACCGCCATGGACACACACCAGAAACGAGCCGTTGCGTTATATTTACCTTCACAGAAGACCCGCCGGCCCCCGCGGTCGCTCGCCAACCGATCGCAAAGCGCGCGGGTGCCACCCGCCGAGGCTGCGGGTAACCGCGGCCCGCGCGATTCTACTAGTTGCCCGCCGGTACAGCGGGAGCCGCATACAACCGCGTACACCGCGGGCGTAAAACGCGTCGTGAAATGTGCTTTAATTTTTTATATAAATATTTGAATTCTACAGAAGCTGCGGACCCGCAACCGCAGCGGACACGGGCGAAAATCGCTCCGTGAGTTCTTAGCCTAAAAGTGCGTTCCATTCCAAATGGAATTTGAAAAAAGAACTGACGTTCGAGTTTTACAAAGATTATTCTTTTTTTAAAAGGAGGTTTTAGTTTCTTCAAGTTTTGTTTCACATAGGTAATACCATCGATCACTATTAAAGAACTAGATACACAATCCCATACAAAAGTTCGCTTCAAACTGTCGTCAACTGTGTTTAGGTACTTATACTTGAAATAAACATGCATTAATGTAAATTAAACCTTAAATGCAACTCATAGAGTTGTTTTCACAAAGTGATGATTTACGACTTATGATTTATGCAAAAAATTCACATTTTTTGCATAAATCATAAGAAATTGAACCATATTCGCATGTTTTTAAGTCGAATTTACAATGTGTCAAAAATGAGCAATAAAATTTAACGACTTCGGCTCACCGCTAGGACAAAGAATGATTTGAGTCGAAATGTCTCGTAATAAATATATTTATTTCAAATTTTTTTTGATAATTTATAAAAAAAAATACGAAAATTAAAACGCATTACTTATAGTATTCTTTTCTATAGGTTTGTTCATTTATTTACCAATGAAACTAATGCATATAGTTATAATTTTTTTTTATTATTTTCGTCCTCCTTAATCCTTACTAAATTTCCTAAAAGTATACATATATACTTTGAAAAATATTCCAAATTCGAAGTCAAATAAAAAAGATGTAAAATAATAAAAAGAATATATATCTAAAGTAAGTACTGAAAATGTTGGCGTTATTGTTGTCAATTTTAAATAAAAAAAATGTCTTTACTGCAGTTAAAATTAAATCCATTATATCTGCCTATTCCATATTTTAATAAACACAGTAAAGAAGTATAATATTAAATAAAAACTATTTTTTAATAAAAAAAAACAATAAATAAAATTAGAAACATTAGCGTCTCCGCTAAACGGAACAGAATCAATCCACGTAAACCGAACAACTTAAGTGGTCATGCTAGAGAATGATTTTACGTTTAGTATAAGTGTCTTTATAAACTGTGTGCATTATAAACCCGGTTTTTGAATACGATTTCATTTGGAAAAAGTTTTAAAGTTAATTTCTTAATAAAATATCAATATTTAAAATAGAATGATGACAATTATATAATGATAATATTATTACTTAACAAAAATATGAAATTCCATCCTTTTTTGCGTCTTAGATGTGTGTTTTTTGCAGTTTTTAAACGAGCACTGAGGCGTGTTTACCGTCGGAGCATTCGAGTGGTACTAAACTAAAACTACACCGCGATGTTGAGTTTGGTGGACTTTCAGTTAGGACATTTTTTGTCACTGATTGTGTATCTAGTTCTTTATTAGTGATCGATGGGTAATACTTACAGAAACTTTTTTCTATAAATTACACATATTATAGTCACACGACTTTTATTTCATTTAAAGTCAATGAAATATAATTATATTTATGTCAAATATAAATTTAATTTAAAAAATAACTAAATATATAAATTCATAAAAAAATACCTTGGTTACCTTATAAGAATTGAATTCTCAGACGGATTTGTTAATAGAATAGGAGATATTTAAACATAACGGTCAAAATTGGACAAAATTCAATAAATAACTTATTTTTAATTACGGAATAAGAAAATATTATTCCGTATGTACACCTATGGGTACATTTAAATTTAGGACATTTCCCTTAATTTACTTTTCAGCTATGCCAAAATATATCACATTCCTAAGCACATGATATGCACAGAAAGGGGTTTAACAGGCTCATAATATTTTTTTAACCTTGCCTCACATTTGAATTGTCACCTGTGAGCGAGTTTGCAAACAAACACATCACACCCAGACCCGGAACAACAATTTGTTGATAACAAAAAGAGTTGTTCCGTGCGGGAATCGAACCCGCGGCACGTTGCACGGCAGCTAGTCACCCAGCCACCGAGTCAACTGTCAAGTCCTTTTGTACCTCCATATTTTATGTAATATAATAATTGTACCAGTTAAAATGAGTGGCATATTAAATCAAGATATAAGATAACAGAAAAACACATAGATCAAATAAACAAATCCCTAATAAATCCATACTTTTTTTAAAATCGAATCTCAATCGTTCCTCAACTTTATATCCACTCCATTTTAAGAAAGTATATATACATAAATATGTATAACTAACGTATAATTATACACACACATTGTACATTATTGGCTAAAGGCCCTACATCACAAACGCTTACTTAATAATTTATGAATAGGTATACCTATTTGTATTGTCACAATAATATAGTATAAGTATAGAAACACCGATACAACGATGATGTACAAAGCTGACACGTCTAAAACATCAAGTAAACTTACATTAAAATGGACAACGAACAAGTAAATCGTTTTACAAAAACTCGTAAGCGATATGTCTTAATACAGACTTTAAAATGAGCAATTACGACTGTCATAGGAAAAGGGAATTTATGTGTAAAGCAGTAAACTAGTTTGATTCGAGTTTAACTAATGATTTTTCAAAGTATAAGTACCTAAATTGCAAAGATTTTCACTTTTAAATAAATACCACAAACTTAAAATAGAATATTATTTTTCGATTTTTTAGCATTATAAAAGCAAACAAACCAGCATTTAAAGAAATTTCTGTAGATACTATACTAATAAAAAACGTTCCAAATCGTTTTCGTAAATAGGTAAATACTCTAGAAGAGACACCCTGAAGATAAAGACCCTGTGAAAGGTAGGTTCCCTGCACGACATCGAACATTCAAAAATTTGTAGTCTTCGAGAAATACGTACAAATATATTATTATGTCTTTCAATTTACCACTACAAGAATCCAGATAATTTTTAAGAACATCCTGATGCTCGACAGCATTTGGTACAACATTAAAAGCATAGAAAAAATTATAACTACGAAGAAGCAGTCAGCAATGATCTAATTAGGTTGTCACCATAAAAAGGATTTTGTTTTTCTTTATGAGAGAGAATCATTGTTTGGGGGGAGGGAGTATCAAATGACTTCTCCCGCCCAGGGTGGGTCATGAGGAAGTGTCAGACTCTTACTGACTAAAAACGCCACCGTTCCTTCTCCTGCTCTAGGCCGAGGCCTTCAGCCCTTTGTGACCCCGTCTGTGGTGGTCTATTGGCTCATTAAAATATATCATAAAATACCCAAATCTTTAATCGCTTTAATTTGCTATCATCACGCGTGATGGACTAGACCGGTACCGATATTTCTTTATAGACTCTGTTTTTTAAGACCAGTAGAAGGGTGATTCTCCAAAAAACCTTAACTTTTATTTAACAAGTCATTATCCTCCCATGTTTTTAAGCATCTTAGTAATTTATTTTATACAATATTTTTAATCGATTGCTTGTAAGCAGTGGTGAGATTTAATTTAATAAAATAATTATCTGTGTTTTAATCAGCAGACTCGTTAATTTTCGGTTGAGGATAATGACATTATTATTTTTTTTTTAATTGATGTGAAGAATCACCCAAGGTTAATATAAAAAAATTAAATTATGTAACGTAAAGATTACAACCGCAGTCTATGAAGTTAAATGTAATATTATGTTTTCACTATCACGCCTAAAAAGATTTTAGCATAATAATGATGAAACCTAATTAAGTTCGGTAATTAATAGATCAACAAACGAATGTATATTTTGTACGTATTTCTACCACATTAAACTTACATTTACAATAATTGTAATACTTTTTTCTTAATTAATTCAATACTAAAATACATAATAAATAATAAATAAATCTGATTAAGTTACAAACACAAACAACGTTATATACGTATAAAATAAAAAATATTCAACTTGATAAAATTTAAAATGATTAAATAAATTTTTGGTAGGTATAACTTTTAAATCAACACTTTTATAGACCGTATAACATACATGACCTATAATATATGTATGTTATAGGTAACAACAAAATTAATAATTTGAAAGGTTTACTTATGCTTGGACTTACGGCCCGTGGGGCGGAAGACGCCAGATTTTGATTTGCAGTCAGATTTTCCAGACTTGCTATGGGAAGCAGATTTTTTAGCATCGGATGTTGGAGACAAACCTACCTTGGGTTTATCTGTCTTGCCAGAGGCGCTTGACTTAGCAGATGTACTAGATTTAGCCGGGGCGTTAGACTGCGTGGCGCGAGAGCCAGACTCAGTCCCAAGGGCGCTTGATTTATTAGGAGGACCTGAAGGACCTGCGGTGGCAACTGCACCTGATGCACTGATGGTACCAGCTGCCTCCGATTTACCAGTCTCAGGAGTGCCAGATGCCAAAGCAGAATTGTTACGGCCACTTGAGGGGCCAGCAGCGACAGAGCAGTTAGCTTTCATTATTGACCCAGTAATAGAAAACCTTTTACGGTATATATCATATATGTTATGCGGTATATCGGAATCCTTTATGTCATTTATGTAAGGATCGAGGAAGGTAAAACTAGTATTCATGAACTTGTTAGCTCTTGGAAAATGTCTTACAGGATATCCTATAGTGTGAAGATGTCTCACCATGGCATACTCAGCAACGATACGGTTCCAGATTTCTTGGCACCGGCATTCTGAAACAAAAAGTTAATATTACAAATTATACAGTGACGTCATCTATAATTGTCTTCAGCCGGGGTTGCGGGGTAAGCGCAATGAGGCACCGCGACCTCGGCCCAGAGCAGCAGAAGGAACAGGGGGTTTTTAGTCAGTATAAAAATTGTTAAGGTTAAGAGGAATTTTGATCTCAATTATTAAATTATTCACCATGTTGTTGATTGTTGATAAACTGGATTTTTGTAAATGTGAGAGCCCTGTAACTTATTATAATTGAGTTAGACTTATAGACTTATAGTATATTGGTACTTGTGTCAGTTGGGAGTTGTCATGCTCACTCAGGAGTCTCATTGGCGGTGGCACGGGCACTGGACCGCTCGGTTCCCTATAATATGGTTGAGTTGGGCGGTGCTGGTGTACGTGTCATGTTCGTGAACGGACGCCGCCTATTGGGACTGGTCAACTCGAGACTGTCTAAAGTTGCTGTCCCTGAGGGTTATTTCTTTTTCGGATACTTTGGTTAAACACTAGTGTTACACTGTTCTCACATAATGGAGCTATCTAAATTATGTAACAATGTATTGTAAAAAGTGATTGAAAAAGAGTAACCATGGAGTTTCTTGCTCGTTCTTCTCCATAGGAATCTACACTTTGGAACGAGCAAATAGCTTCACTAGAGGACAGACGGACAGACTGACACATAAAGTTAAACCTTATGATATCTTTTTTGCTTGACGTTCAAAAGTGCCTTTTTTGGTCTATTTGAAATAAAGAATTTGATTTGATTTGATTTGATTTGAGTAAGAGTTTGAAACTCCCTCCCACCCAGCCTTGGGCGGAAGAAGTCATTTGATGATTGTCCCCTCACAAAAAAAAGTCTATAATTGTCTATAAGAATAGTACAAAGGAGTAATATTTGTAAGTTTGTATGTAGGGGGTAGGTAATCTTTGAAACCGCTAGTCGGATTACTAAAATTCTTTCACTGATGGATAGCTTGAATATTTCTGAATGCTATATGCTATAAGACACAATTAAATGGAGCCAAGCAGCGGGTAAAACCGCACGAGAATAGCCAGTACAGAATTATTGGAAATTAGATTATAAAGATTTAAGAAAATATGTCTAATACCAAGTGATATTTTTGTTATAATAATTGAAGCCCTGTTGAACCCTTTTACAGCAAACTAAATCGCTGTAATGTAAGCGTGTGACTTGCACTAGTTTTATTTTTCTTTGGTTATAGTTGGAAGAATCTCTAAAAAGACAAAATTTGTGGAAATTATCGCCTGTACGTCGCGAGCATTTTATTTTTTTCTTAACAGATAAATTTTCCTTCGCCATATTTAAAAAAAAAAACATTTTCCAGCAATTTGATACAAATTTGCCAAGACTTTTTTTTTTTTTTTTATTTATTCGAAGGACTTTTGACTAGTTACGTGATTTTTTTTTGTTAAATTATAAATATAAATGTACAATATTGCCGCCATTGCCACCGACCTTTAGCCCTCATCGAAAACTGTCGCATCGCTTTAATGTTAAGTATGAAGAAACATTTATGTTTAAAATCGCAATGTAAAACATATCTTTATATATATTAAGAACTGAATTAATTAACCGTAAAAAATTTCGTACATTTTGTAATAGAAAACTCCATTAGTACAACAATGTAAGTGTTAAACTTTGAAGTTGTATGAAAAGTACTGTAAGTAAGACTTAGGTAGTAAATACCTAACTGTAACAAACTCTAAACTAAAGTTAACTGGGAATTTATTTTAAAAAGTTTCTAACTAAAACTTTTATACCTACTGAAGCCAAAAGCAATATTTAATCATACCAAATCCTATAAGTAGCGTATAAAACTTAACATTCGCTAACAAAGCAAATTAGTGCTTATTGTCTAAAATAATTTAAAATTTGATTACCTGGTAATCCCAGCTGATCACCAATGTCACTCCACACCAAAGAAACCAGCAACTTTTTGGTTCTATTACCGCGGCCGCCTCGGGTATACAGAGGAGGGTTTTCTCTTACTAGTTTAATTATTGCTGACTCAATAGGAGTCCAGGCGTCCTCTTTGCAATGATAATAAAGGCTTTTTACTCTGCAACCCGCCATTGCATGCACGTCCAGATCAGTCAGAGCCGAATCCTCAATGTCCTGCTGACGCCGGGACGCGGGCTAACGCGCAGACGTGCACACTCTCCGCCCACCCTATACAGCTTGCACCGTGCATATACTTGCATCTATTTATATACGGGGGCCTCGGTGCTCGTCAATAGGGAGATAGCTCCAATTAATTGGTATTTATAGCAGAACTACAAAAACTTAGAAAACTTTACATTCCATTTTTTTTCAACATCAGTTCAGTACTGAATTTTAAAGGACCAACTGCTTGTATAATATCTGTGTACTTAATATTAAGTTCGAAAATTCGAAAATGCCTCAAAATATGTATTGCGGAATGTAGATTGGTAGCGAGATGGCTCTAACAAAAGCAGTGCAAACGATGGTCTTTTCTTTTTTGAGGGGGAAAATTGTCAAATGTTTCGACATCGGCCCTAGTGGGCAGCCTCTTTGGTAGTCTAATGGCTCTATGAGGTCCACGCTGAACCCAACGCACCACTCGCTCGACTCTATTTCTGGTTGGCCGGCCTTTGCTCGCCGCCCGCAGACCCCTTCCAGTGTCCGGAAATCATTGCGTGATCCCTGACGCACGGAGTGTCTCCTGTGGCGACTGAGGCGTAAAGAGGATTGTTTACCCACGTGCTCCGCCTCCTTCTTTGCGGTCTTAACTGCTTCAGTAAAGAAGGAGACGGCTTCCCAGTTCTTCTTACTCCGCACCATGGCTTCGACTAACGGCGGACGCGAGAGGTTGTCGCCGCCGACCACTTCCCTAAGGACACGGCGGCGTTTAACCCAAAGAGGACATACAGCTATGCTCCTCCGTGTCCTTTGGGTGGAGGTTTCAGGAGCCTCCCAATTCTCCCATCTCCGGCACCTGAGACAGGCAACTACATAAGATCCACTCAAAACAGAAATATCCGTAACAGTAATATGACATAGCAGCTTGGTTTTCCTGACTTTCCACCACTAAACAACTGTAATGTAACATATTTTAAATAGTGGCTATCTTGAGATACACTTTTTTTTTCGAAAATAACGACTTACTCGCTTTTTGAACTGAGAAAAGCTCTACTAGTCTAGTCACAACGGGAGTCCAATTCATCACGATGCAGCAAATGCATTAACGAACAATGGATCTATAATAATAGAATGGAAACATGTGTTGACCTTGATCACAGAACCCTAAAATCACTCCTTGCAAGGGGTGGAGCTAGCGCAGCAAGGGTGATTAAAAATAAAACCGAGATCAAAAGAAAAAAGGACCCTAGGTGATCATAATATTGGGGTTGTTCCTTGGTACAATAAAATGATATAGGTTCCCATTTGGCTAGATTTTTTTCAAGGTCTTCGTTTACCATTCGATTTTAGAAAATCGATATGTTTTGCATTATCAAACACAAATGACATCACCATACATATTAATTGTTGTAATTGTGCCTTACTTTTGACGGGGTTAATCATTAAATGACTTCTCATCCATCTTAATGACTATGAAAGAAGGAAGAAGAAACTCCTTCCTTCTTTTGCTCTGGGCCAGAGCAGATAGGTACTTTCCTAATTGTGATCTTGAAGATTTTCCTGAGTCGACTATTAGTCATGAACGAGAAAAGTACTGACCAACTATTACAGAATTAATGGCCTATGTCCAAAGTTTGTGTTGTCCGAATCGACCGACGAATCTACCGATTTCCCAACTCTAAAATCATATCCACCCACCTTCCGCCTACTATACCCCTTCCCCCATAAAACTTTCTGACAAATAAAATGCTAAATAAATGCGTATAAAGTCTAATATTGCATGAACGTTACAAATATACAGGGAGAGTCTAGATTTTATTTTGTTTATAAACTACCTACATATTGATTTACATTTTGTTTATTGTGATTTGTTAGTGCAAACAAATAAAATTTTATTTAAAACTGATCCTTTTGTCGTTGTGGTTTTGAAAGGCCACCAATTTGTATGATCCAAACGTGATATAGGACTTGTTATAGTTTGTTGTTATGTTGTTTTGTAATATTTTAAATAATTATGATTGTGTATTTTAAAATTTGCTGTGTGTTACGCGGTTCATAATGTTTTTTTTTTTTTGGAATAATATCTATACTTACTAATATTATAAAGAGGTAAAATTTGTAAGTTTGTATGTTTATAAGTTTGTATGTGTGGGGTAATCTTTGAAACCGCTGTCCGGATTTCCAAAATTCTTTCACTGATATATAGCTACAATGTTCCTGAGTGCTATTGGCTATAAAACATCACGCTATGTTCTGTAGGAACCGAGTAGCGGGTGAAACTGCGTGAGAGTAGCTAGTATATTATACATATAGGCAAACGAGCATACAGATCACCTGATGGTAAGTGTACGATGCCGCCTATGAACACCTGCACGAGTCACAGGCACGTTGCCGGCTTTATGATATTATGCGCAATTAAATATATAAATTATTAAGTATGATGATAATGACTTGGTTTTAATACCTACTGGTAATAAAATAAGTTTTAGATTTGGCCTGTCAAGATTGAATTCAGTATGTGATTTTTTTAACTTAATAGTTGCGTTAGAATCATTTACATCATCGAATGGGTTCCCTCACCCCGGGCGGGGCGACTGGATGCCGTCAGATTCTTACTGATTAGAAACCATCCCGTTTCTAATCCTGCTCTGTATTCGCACATCGTGTATTCGCACTCGCAATCTCGGCTTTGCATCGGCTCTAGTGAGCCGTGTGGTGGTGGATGCGCTGTACGCGGTTCTCCTGGCGGAAGATACCCGATATAACCATTACGTCTCATGCGGTGGCTGGGGCGTGAAGAGGATCGTTCATCCTACGCCCTTAGCTAGAAAACTACTCCGGTGAAAAGGGGAGACGGCTTCGCAGTTGCTGTTCCCAGTTCATGGCCGGAATTAGGATCGAGCAAGAGAGAGCGCCGCCACCGATCACTTCCTTGACTACACGGTGGTGTTTAACCCACACTGCGTTCTCATTTTGTGATTAACCTGCCCGTTTGCTTCCAGTCCATAAAAAGCGTTTATGTAAAAAAACTTAACCTTACCTCTCCCAATAACCTTGTGCTTACAATATAATTAATCATACATCTTCTTCATCTTCTTTTAAATAAAAATGAATTGCTTTTCGTTTGTCTTGCTTAAACTCGACAAAGGCTGGACAGAGATGGCTTATTGTGGTATTGAAATATTCCTGAGTATACAGCGAAGGTTATATAAAGGGACAGAAAATACAAAAGAAACTAAATAAAATAATGAAATATTAGTTACATTTGAGGCGGAACGAAGTTGGCCAAGGCAGCTATATCGTTATAAAACTTCACATAGGATAACTACCTTGAGATAAAATAGATTTATATGTCCCGACTGAAGCTACAAACGCAATAATAGCAACAGGAACTGTGCAAGGAAGTCAAAGACAGCCTGCATCGAGGAGGATGATTCTAACGATTGTGTCAGCAGCAGGAACCTTTTATATTAAGATGTGGAAATAAATAAGTTGGATATTGTTTTGTTAGACACAAACCAAGCCAAGAAAATATGAGATTTCCTTTGATCAAATGTCACATTTAATGTCGTCTGTGAATAAAGAATAAAGTTCACGGAAGGTGAACGTTATTCTTTAGAATTGATTTTAGAATTGAGACAGGTAGGTTTGTGGTATACCAATACTAAAATGGTCATTTTAATATTATTCCTACTGATTTACCTATTCTAACTGAATTAAATAAATACACTTGACGTGATTTAAATAAGTTTAGGAAGTTAATAAGCAGTAATTGTAGACTTTGGTCATTTTGAAAGAAACAAAGACATATTATAATCCAAAATATTAAAAGGTTTATATATAACTGTGCCGTAACTATTTTCATTATAATTGGACTTACTTTCTATTGTATTTCTTACATAGTCACTTTAATATGATTTCCAGACATCTTAACTATTAATAGAATAAGTACCTACTGCTGCCTTAACCAACAACCATCGATTCTGATTGTTGAGAAGAAACACTGTCGGGATTGTTTTGAAAATCCCTACGATGTTATTTTTTCAAAACAGATGCCGTCAGCCTTTTCATTTTGATTGATTCTTTTTAAGATCGAAATGATACCACAGCCTCAGAGAAAACCGACGTGAAAGGCCGTGTGAGTGAGGTTTCCGGAAGCCCAATCCGTGCCCCTTCCCTATCCTTAAATATCACCCTTATCCCCAAAAGGGCGACACCGCACTCGTAACTCCTTTAGGGTTACGGGTGTCCATGGCTGGCGCGCATTGCTTACCATCAGCCGCCATCAGGTAATCAGTATGCTCGTTTGCCGACATATCCCACAAAAAACTGAACTCATTATACAAGTTCGTTACTTCATTACCCGCTAAAACCAGTATCACATTATTGATTAGGCAAGTCTTGTATATTTTACGTACTATATTAGCTGGGAGCGACGACAGCGTCGATTAAAAGTGATTTTTGAAACACAAAAAGGAAACAGACCTATTTAGGAGAAGAATCGAATTGTTTTTAGTCAGTGGCTGATACTCCCCTCTCGCCCCACCTAGGGTGGAAATGTCAATATAACAACAAAAAAGTTTTTTATACGGTGTTCAATACGGGAGTCGTGTCGTCATATTACAGAACCCTTTAATCAACCAATTAGTGCTTAATCAACCACACCCAGCAATATTGCCAATTGCTTACCTGCTGTGTTACTGTGAAAACGTGTATTTTCGTATTTTTAATTAATGAATTGTTTTGGAAGAAAGTTTTTTTTATGGTATAAGTCAGCAACCGAGCAGACGGATTACCTGATGGTAAGCAATCGGCGCCGCCCATGGACACCCGCAACACCAAATGAGTTACGAGAGCGTTTGCGGCCTTTTGGGGATAGGGGTTGCGGATAAAAGGAACGGGAAGGGATAGGGAGGGGAGGGTTTGGGCCTCCGGTTACCTCACTCACACGGCGAAACACAACGCTGGGTTGTTTCACGCCGGTATTCTGTGAGGCCGTGGTATCACTCCGGTCGAGCCGACCCATTCGTGCCGAAGCTTGGCTCTCCCACACTTATTAAATCGTTTTACTTTTTTAATTACCTTTCAAAATCAGGAAATTATTAGTATTTAAGTTGTATATAAATATCAAAGTATGTAAGTCCCAACCGCAAACTGCGCTGAACCGCATGATTCACAATCTGTGAGCTCTATTGCAAATAATGAATTTAAATTCAATGAAAGTTCATTGGCCCTATTGACACCAATTTATCAAACTTTGATTTCAATCGGCTGATGATTAAATTTGCTATCTCCAATATGTTTTACCTTGTATGTGCTTTTAGCCTTATAAGTACTTGAACGATGTTTTTTTTAGTACGACGAAAATTTTTGTGACGATTTGAATTAAGTAATCAAGTAGTATTTTTTTGTAATAGTTCGGCAAACGAGCTTACTGATTACCTGATGGTAAACAATCAGCGCCGCCCATGGACACCCGCAACGGAGGAGTTACGCGTGCGTTGCCGACCTTTTAGGGATTAGAGATTTGGACATTAGGGATTGAGGAGGGATTGGGGGAGAAGAATGATTGGGAAACTTAAGAAAAAACATAAAACATAGAGAGCGAAAAGTTTTGTCGACCCGTCTATATAATCAGCGTTCCTTGAGCTATAATTTTAAACTAGACGATGAAGAGATGTCTTGTCATCAGCAAATGCTTTGTTAAGTACTCCGAATATTTAATTAAGTAACACTATAATTAATATTTACACATATTTTCACATGGATTATCCTATAAGTATGTATTTATAGGTATAGATCACTTAAAAAAGTCCTGACAAGCGTGAAGATAAAGAATGTCATAACTTGGTATGTAGAGGAGGCTTCTTTGAGGATGGAAAATCATCACTCGTTACTTTACTATGACTTCTCCCGCCCTGGGTGGGGGAAGAGTCAAGCTCTTCCTGATTAAAAACCAAGCTGTTCTTTCTCCTGCTTCGGGTTGAGCGTACATTAACTTGCAACAGCACTCCCGAGAACTAACCCTTTTAAAAGTTACAAATTAGAACTAATGACACTAAATTGCAGACAGATACGCTGGCATGGATCTGGATTTTCATTACATTTAGACTAACAAAAAACTATGGTTGATAAAACCGTAATGTTTTCTTCGACTCTAGAATTACTTATTTAATTAAGTGTGGCAGAGCAATGCTTCGGTACGAATGAGTCGGCTTGACCGGAGTGATACCACGGCCTCACAGCAAACCGTCTTGAAGCAACTACAGCGTTGCGTTTCGCCGTGTGAGTGAAGTTACCGGAGACCCAATCCTCACCATCCCCCAATCCCTTCCCAATCCCTAATCCATAAATGTTTGGAAGCGCACTCGTATCTGTTCCATTGTTGTGGGTGTATATGGGCGGCGCTGATTGCTTGTCATCAGGTAATCCGTCTGCTCGTTTGCCGTCCAATCACATAGAAGAAAATCAAAAGGTTCCTTTTTTTTATTTTTCACTTGTTTTGCTGAAACTTTAGTATTAATCCTTCATAATTTTTATTCGAAATCGTATCCTGTTGGCGACTTTTCACGATTCAAGTGGTCCTAAATCTATACTATTATTATAAAGAGGTAAAATTTGTATGTAGGGGGTAATTTTAGGAACCGCGGGTTGCATTGCCAAAATTCTTTCACTGATAGATAGCTACAATGTTCCTGAGTGCTATAAGCTATAAAACATCACGCTACGATCAAATGGGGCTGAGCAGCGGGTGAAACCGCGCGAGAGTGGCTCGTACATAATACTTCGAATATGAAGGTTTTAGTCAGGAAAGTTACTTGAGAACACATTTTCAATTGAAAGTTGTTGTTTGTTGCATATAATTTTGAACTATGAGTAGGTATTTTATGTTCTCTAAGTTGCGTTAGAAACTTTTCCTTTAATAGCTTTAGCTGCTCCAGAATTCGACGTAAAATAATGTTCTACTTGGTAAGTTTTACATTTACTTCTACTGCTAGTAACGCTTGAATTAGTCAAATTGTACCTAATGACTATAAACAATAGAGTAGTAAATTAAATTGTGGTACACCACTGCTTACCCCTTTGGTGAATAGGAGACAGTGTATCATGTTACAGGGATTAGCGAGAACAGAGTTACAGGCTAAACGCTTGTGTTGTCTACAAACATTCAAGGATTACTCCAAAGTTGAACAAGTTCGGAAATGTGAGCCAGGGAGACATGTTGGTTCTGTCTCGATCGTTCCTCATTAAAACTTTTTAAACGATACAATATGGCCGTTTTCTATAAGCAAAGTAAAGGTTCTTAAATTTGTTATCAATGGCGTTTTGCATTGCAGCATTTTGTCACTTCATACTATAAAACAAAATATAGGTACAACTGTATGTTTTAATCTTAAAAATTTAGTCTAGGCGGATCGCTTGTATTTTAACAAAATTTTATCACCACTTTAAAAGTTTTTCTAAATTGACTACTTATTAAAATTAGTATTTCGCCAGTAGATTTAAACTTTTTTTTATATAGCCAAATCGACATGAAAGTCTTTTATATCTATAATATTATACTAGCGACCTGACCTAACCTGACCTTTCTCCACTATTATATGGATGTTAATATACTTTTGAGTTCGTTCGTGCATGTAGAGGGTAAAATAACTAAACAGACCATACCACAGAATCTTGCTGCATGGCGTCGCAAAGGTGCACGCATTCTTAGCGTATTTCATGTAGGTAAGTTTAATATTTCCATACTGATTTCTATTATTTTTTAATTTTAATTGATATTTAGATAACTGTAAACTTTATTAAATTAAAGATGAGCGAGAGTATTATAAACGTAGGAGTTTACAAATATAATCAGTATGCTAAGCTATCAGGAGCCATCAGTATGCTAAGCTATCAGGAGCTATCCGAACTGCTAAGCTATCAGGAGTTACAAGTGTTATTATGAGTCAACCATAAAAGATAGACATAGGTATGCTGTTTTAAAATTAATTTTAGATAATTTTATGATTGATATGATTTCTATGTAACTGTAACCAATAAGGCTGCAAACACGACTGAAGCTTAAAAAATTGTATTTGTCTGATATCACTCACTAATCACCCCCTAATTAATAGTTATATTAATAATATACATATTGTACAATATATATATATATATATATTGTACAAAATTAACCTGCAGCGTTGTGTTTAGCTGTGTGAGTGAGGTTACCGGAGTCCCAATCCTTCCCCAAACCCAAAATCCCCAAATTCCTAATCCCCAAAAGGTCGGCAACGCACTCGTAACTCCTCCGCTGCTGCGGGTGTCCATATGTGCCGCTGATTGCTTTCCATCAGGTAATCTGTATGCTCGTTTGCCAACATACCACATACAAAAACAGCCATATCTACCTTACTAAGTTATTAAATTATTATTCCAATTAGGTACTATTTGCAAACACGATCTATCGGAAGGTTAATCAAATTATTATTTCCTTTAATTTTTAATTATTGTAATGGCATTTGCATCGAGTTTATTATTTAGCTGAATGCACTTCATACGTTTTATGTTTAATGTTCTGCGTGACTGAAATACACAAGTGATTGTAGAATTAGATATATATAGTATCTACGGTTTGTTAAGAAATTGATTATATTTTGTACTTTATCCTTCCAACCATAAAATATGACAGGGCATCATGTTTGTCAGCTATACTACGAACCCAAGTTTGTGAAATCCGGCAGATGGGACTCGAGGTTAGGATCCACAAGTCCGAGGCCATGTGTTTTTATGGCCGTAGGAACGCGCCACCTCCAGATGGGTCCCAAATAATGGCAGGAGGAGTTACCATCGGCGTCGAGTCAGCATAAAGTACCTGGGTCTCGTACTCGACAGCCAGTGGAACTTCACGGAGCATTTTTGTCGTTTGGCTCCTAAGTTGGAACGGACTGGGACCGCGCTCAAGCGGCTCCTTCCCAACCTAGGGGGGCCAAACGCCTCCAGCCGGAGGTTGTATATAGGGATTATGTGATTCATGGCCCGTGTGGGCGCCGGACTTGACGGCGGCCAGCTGGTACGCTGGTTGCGTCCCAGAGGGTCATGGCTATCCGAATAATCCGCGGATATCGCACGATCTCCGGGGAGGCGGCGAACCTCCTTCCCGGATCACCGCCGTGGGATCTAGAAGCAAAGGCGCTCGCGCGCGTCTACAGTTTGCGCGCCGACGCGCGTCACCGGGACGAGGATCCTCTGCCGCGCCAAATTAGTGCGTGGCGGAATGAGCTCCGGCGAGATCTCATGGCAGAGTGGAAACAACGACTGTCGCAACCGAGGGTCGGGCACGCTATTATAGCAGCGGTAAGACGCCACGGCGTCCTCACCTTCCGCCTGACGCATGTCCTTACCGGGCACGGCAGTTTCGGTAGGTTCCTGTTTCGGATCAAGAGGGAGGAAACGCCCGAGTGTCATCATTGCGAGGACCACCTAGAGGTTACGGTGGAGCATAAGGTGGCGGTATACTCTGCCTGGGCTGGGCACCGCCGTGTCCTCAAGGAAGTGATCGGCGGCTCTCGACTCTCGCGCCCGGCCTTAGTCGAGGCCATGGTGCGGAGTGAGAGGAACTAGGACGCCGTCTCCTCCTTCTGTGAAGCTGTTATGCTCGCAAAGAGGGAGGCGGCCCACGTGAGGGAGCAATCCTTCTCCTCACGCCCCAGCCGCCGCAATAGGCGACACTACGGGCGTCGGGGATCAAGGAACGATCTCTGGCCACCGTAAGCGCGGGTCTGCGGTCGGCGAGTAAGGTCAGCTCCTCGCCCGACCAGAACCAGGCCCGAGCGTACGGCGCGTAGCGTTCCGCGCGCATCAAAGAGCCAATAAACCATCACAAACGGGGCCCTATATGGCTGATGTTTAGCCGGGGTTGCGGGGTAAGCGTAATAAGGAGCGGCGACCTTGCCCATAGAGCAGGAGAAGGAACGGGGGGAGGGGTTTAGTCAGTAAGAGTATGACACTTCCTCTCACCTCACTCTAGGCGGGAGAAGTAATTTGATTGATGATTTTACCCTGAAATAAAAGATGATTAATAGCAATATAACAGAGTAAGTTTCATGTTAGCTGTTTGCTAGAAGTGAAACTAAAAAATTCCTGTTATCGTCAAGAGAAAAATTGATACTTTATTTTGAATGCATAATAGGTACGTCTACAACATTATTGGTTCAAACACATTGACGGTGTGACGAGATGTAACATTTTATTTTATTCAAACAGTAGGTACTACAACTAACACTTAAAATTTCAAATTTGGCTTTCCCGTAGTCAGTCCACTTTGTTTCCAGTATTTTTATGTCTTTTCGTTTCTTCGGTATACACCACCTGCACCATCCGCTACGTGCCGTCTGCACAGTCCTCTCCTGACTTCTTCCAGTCCAAGAATCCCTCTTTCATATTCTATAATTGATTGTTTTGCGGTCCCAAACAGTCTTCCAGAAGACATTTTCGTCAAAAGTCACGAACATCGAACATTGATATGACCACATCGATAAAGTTGAATACGATAAGTGATTAAATGTGTTGTGATGCAATTCTTACATAATGTGCCACGCCATGTTTGCCTAGCCAGCAGTACGCTGTTCCGGTTGCTCATCTGACGTGTTCATTTCCCTGAGAGACCGTTCTACAGCATCCTCAACAATATTCATCAGATTTTGTACATGCATTTTCCCCATTTCATCGTTCGGTTCTTCCTCTTGTGTGCGGTTTTTTAACAAAGCCTGTACCATCTCTTTAGTGACGACCTGCTTGCTTGTGACCCCAAATAGCTTATTGAAGCGTTTGTGAATATGTGGAGGGATGTCGTCATCATTAATCTCGTAAATGTAAGCATCGATGAACTCCAGAGATCCATCCATGTACTTGCTCGTCTTAGGATGTAGCGTGATCACCTCCTCTGTCACTTTCCCAAAGCGGATTAAATTGTTTAACTTGGCATATCTCAGTTTTATGCTGGTCCACTCCTGCTTGCAAGCTTTCTCTGAAAAAACAGAAAAACCAGAGATAAGAAAGTAATCATCAATTATTTAATGCAAGTGTTTATTTATTTCGGGGTATTCACTGTAGAATTGCTATTCATTTAGCGAATTGTTGATCTTTCTTTCGATTTGTAATGTCAACACAGTCACATGGCCATAAACTACACATTTATAAAAAAGATGCTTAGCGTATTACGTTGCCAAAAACGCATATATCGCATAGCTATCCTTAAATTATTTGTTACGTTTATAAGAATTCGCTGGATGATTGGTCAAGACAAACAAATAATTTCGCAACAATAGCACAACAACAAATAGTTGACATATTAAAAGTAAAGTACACGTACATAACAAAATACAATACTTTTAGAAATGTAAACAAAATATGTTTGTACATAAAAACTTACGGGGCATGTGGATGTCGCGCGAAATGCGCTCCCACGCTGTCGTCACAGCGGCCTTGTATTGGGTTGGGGTCATCATAATGTCCCTGATGTAAGTGATCGGGTGGCGCTGTACCATCTTCAGCACGTCTTGTTGGAACGGAGTCCAATAGTTTTCTTCTGGGCTGAGTTTCTTCGCCATTTCGTTTATTATTTTCACTGTGTTCACTAAACAGGCGATACGTCCCGCTTTAGAGAGGTAGCGAGGAGAATTAAGCAATCGATAACATGAAAAGCTGCGCAACATTGAGGGGAACATGGCGCGGCGCACAACCCCTCATCCCTTTGACTCTCTCCCGACCTGGCAGCCGTTAGACTGGCGCTCATTGATAAGCGTGAGCGGAAATAAAGCGACATCTGGTGGATTCAACTCACTTTGTAACGTCATAGGTCACGTTATACTTCATTATGTAGCATTCAGTTTATTTATTATTGACAAATGGATTTATTGATCGGCCTAATCAGCTCACGTTGATTAATGTGATACGATTAATAAAACAAAAAATACCAGTTTTTCCCGATTGCGTGGGACGTTCGAAACATAGTCTTGGTGCGCCTCTTAGTACCTACTTAATAGTTTTGGCTGTACGTTGTATGTCAGTCAAAGTCATAATAAACACGTACCTATAGGCTGAAGTTTTTAGTTTATCGATTGACACCTAAGTTGGTTTGGTTAGTGGAAAGTTTTAACCTAGGTTATGTTAAAGTTGTAATTAATTTCTTTCCATACAAGTATTTATGTTTGTGTACAATATACTTACAAAGTGCAGAATAAAAGTGGTGAAATCAGTTACACAATACAATACCTGATTAACGTAATACCTATAATTTAATACCTATAATTATAGATATCTAATTATTTGTTTGGGCCATCTGAAGGACTTTGAGGTTTGAGTCTGTCAAAAGTATTTCGATAGGTATAATATTTAATACAGATCAATCGATCTACTTCCCGGGCTACTTCTTAAAACTGCAGCCGACCGTTTTGAATACGTTGACATATCACAAAAGCACCTTTTTACTTTTTAATTGATATTATCGTAGGCTACTCGCATAATACAGTTAAATTCACAAAATTTATGTTTCTTCTTGGTTCTTTATTTTTTCTGGAGGTACAGGATCGTCAGGATTACCCCTCTTAGGCGAGCCTAGTTAAGCGCAAGGATACTACCTACCTTTTTCACGCTTCGCCGTGCATATTTTTATGCAATAGTGAAGCAAACGATCTTTCGGAGCACCTGATAGTAGGCAAATCGGCGCCACCCATGAACATGGTCACCCAGACAGTCGCGTTACGCTGGCGATGGACGCAAGGACGTGTCATCCTTTATAACCCGCTGCGCTGATGAAAGTGTTGCAACCTCGGCAGTTGCAAATAGGTATAGGAATCACATATGAATATAATTACTTTAGCATTAGGTCCATCCGCCCTTATCTTTTAAGCACTGCTTCCTCACGTAGTGTCATTACATTTGAAATAGCACTTTTGATTGCTTTTTTGCATTTATTTGTCCCCAAATTTGGCATATCTATGGGTACTGCGTCGAAGGTATTGGCTTGATATTTGAAAACTTTCGAGTGCCTACCTAGGCTTCTTAAGAAAGATTTAAGAAAATCTTTTGACGTTACTTAACAAGTTTTTTTTATTTCTAAAAGTAGTGCACACACTGTAAAATCTACCCCATACGTACCCAGGATACAACAACAGGTTGTTTTGGATAGGGTTTGAATGAGAAAAAACATAAATATTATTTGTCCAGCTCTTTCTGCCTTGCGGTGGGAGAAAGAGAAGGCTAATGGATGTTGTTTCTGTGTTGTCAGGTATCAATCAAAACTTTCAAAGTGCGTAAGTATGGATAAGTCAAACATTTATTTGAACTGCACAGTTCGTCGCGAATAGACATTTCACAAGTATATTCATGTAGGAATCTTGTAAACCAAGTTACAGAAAAAGCATATTAATTTCGACACAGCGTACGCCGCAGTAGGTGACGATCTCTTGCCACCGTAAGCACGGGTCTGCGGATGGCAAGGATAAGTCATTTTATGATTTTCCGCTGACAAAAAAAACTCATAGCACACGCGTAATAAAAATGTACAGAAATACCTTACAAGTCATAACCGATGACTGACCCCGAAACTTATTACTTAACTTAATAAGGAAAATAAACATCTGACTCAACATCCATTACAAAACCGCGATTTTTTGGTAGTTTCATATGTTTTTCGTGTTGTAAGAACATGTTATTTTCTTGGTAAGCTTTGTCTATGTAGTTAGGCAGATGTAAATAAATAGCATAAAATTCGCAAAATTTGATTTTACTGTAACAAAACTATTTACTTATAGGGGTATGTTATTAGTGCCTTTTATAGATTCCATGTATCCTATCCTGACTCCTTTTAATGTGATCCTCGTTACAAAGGATCATCATACCGCCTCCAAGGAGCTCCATTAAGTAAATACCCAAAACAGCATACCATCGCGATCGGTCTCTATTTCTTCAATGTGCACAGAATGCTAAAGATTATTGATAACGAGTGCAGTAAATATAAGGAGCTTTTGTGAAATAACTGTATTTGCAAATAAAAAAGAAACAGAAAGTAAGTACTTACAGGCGTCGTGTAGTTCCAATACTTGGAAAGTTGCACACACACATTGATGCGTTGTGAAAATTCTAGTAAGTACATATAATCGGCTTATCAATGTGATGCTCCCCATCTCCCTACAACACGGTGGGGGGTACACTGGCAGACAGAATTACATGCCTCAACCTCAATAGAAACTAGTTAAAACAGGTCTTATTTGATTTAAACAGATATTAAGTATATGTGGATTTTGTTTCAATTAGTTTAATTTTTACCTAGTTCTCGTATCTAAGTTGTGAAAAGTCATTCAATTAGACTGCACGATTGGCGCGGTGGCTGGGCATCTGGCTGCCGTGCAACGTGTCGCGGGTTCGATTCCCGCACGGAACAACTCTTTGTGTGATCCACAAATTGTTGTTCCGGGTTTGGGTGTGATGTGTATGTGAATTTGTATGTTTGTAAACGCACCCACGACACAAGAGAAAATCCTAGTGTGGGGCAACGTTTAAAAAAAAAAAAGAGAACCAAAAAAGAACCAAAAAAAAAAAAAAGAACCAATTAATTAATAAGTGCCAATAAACTTGGGCTTCCGTAACGGCGAGAAGTGGCTACGGTTAAAAATCGTGTTGTCGTAAAAAAATACAATAGGTACAATATTCTTTATTGTGATACATAGGTTAGCAAATACCTAGGTGTTACATGTTTCAAATATTGTACACAACAACAAAATGTTATTTAGGTTCAAAAAAATTAAATACACTGCAAACCAATTATCGGCATTAACTAAATCTCTGTGATTGACTTTTGAAATCGAGTCTGTTTTGGACAAAACTTTGAATCAGTTTTCATAAAGTCAGAATAAGTTAAAAACCTGGTGCCGCCAAGTGCCATAGATCGTACCTATCTACTGATAGTTTTCATATTAAGACTGTTCAATTTCATTTTAATAACACAGTCGCTGTAAATTACTTCAATGTGAGGAAGGTCCTCAATTGTGAAGTCAAAAGTTAAGTGGTTAAACGAAAAAGACTTCTATCTATACGTAGCTAGGTAAGATAATCACAAAATGATTTTGAAAAAATATTCTAAATGTCTTTTTATACCTTTAATGTGATTAGGTGTTCCCTACGACTTCCCTAAAAGAATACCTAGTCACCCAGGAAAGTGGAGGTTATTTTTTACTACTGTCTTCAATTATATTTTCATACTTACGAATATGCGAATTCGATTTCCTTTGCTTATATTCTTACAATATCGTGATCCGCTACTATCTTTTCTTGTATCACTCGCAAACAATATATAGGTACAAGCTACAAAAACACTTTTGGACGGCATACTCTTAAAATTAGTTATAATATTTTATGTGATCACTCGTTTTTGCAACGGTACCTACACGACTACAAAATAATCTTTGTACGTAATAAGTTTAGAACTTGTAGAATATTGTGCTTTATGCTAACTGATAACTACCTGGAAGCTAATGTTGGAAGTTGTTTCTCTTGGAGTTAGTATCACATCGTGTTGGGACTTAGGACTCGACAAAACTTTCTAACAATTCCAATAAGTTTATCTGTGTCTTGCATCAACAAATAATAGGGTTGTAAGTTGTAAGGCTCATTTTTAGAATATTAATGTTAGATTATTAACCAAGAGCATGTCTACATTTTATAAAAGTTTTGGGTAGACTATGTCACGATTAATGTAAAAAAGTTTAGGTATGGGTAGGTAGATTTGATTAGGTACATTGGCTTTCGCATTATTTTTATTGGCTTATTCATTTAGATTTGCAGTAGGTAGGAACATTTTACATACATAATTAAGTATTATCATTTATTCTAAATACCTAGTAAAGATTTTAAGGGTTACGGGAATAATCCGAATATTTTCAAGTCTTTAAATTTAGAATCCCCCAGTGGCTTGAAAATATGTAGTCCGGCATAGCGGAAACAAAACCGGAGGCGATGAACTTCATGATGATTGAAATTATGAAACCAGTACGGTTTTCTTCAACGAAAATCGGAAACTTCTTCTGGAAAACCGGCAGATCAACGAGGAAATTATCACATAATATAATAAAATGAAAAACACACTTCTCAAGTCAAACACACCACGCTAAAAACATTACAAAACTGCTCTGCAAATATTTGTGCGCCCAACTCTACCTGTGAATGTGATCTGTGAATCAGAAATACTCAGAATTTTATCACAGACGTGTGTGTGTGTGTGTTTAACAATACGATAATATCCACATTTTACATCAACGGTATTCTGTACAGTAATATCGTGCGTCGGTGTGTTACTACACTTTCAGGGAGCAACACACACATTTAAGTTAGTGTGATACGTATTAAGTATCAATTGTTAATAGGTAGGTAGGATTATGCAAAACTTGAGTACCTACCTACCTACCAATATTGAACGCTTTTCGTTGAAGCGGGAATTTTATTCAGTTTCTACCTATACAATGGAATACTTCTTATCCTTTTACTGTTACGGTAGGTAGTTTTCTTCTTTACGTACGTAACTCATTTTTCAATAATATTTGAGCTAACTAAAGAAGGAATACAAAATACAATCTATCTAAAACCAATCTAATTCAACCTACTCGCCGTTCATAGACCCGCTGGAGCTTACGCGTAGGTACGGTGGCCGGAGATCATCTCTCGACTCGATCCCTATTGTATATACTTATGTACTGGATACTGCCGTGGCTGGGGCGTGTGGAGGAGGATAGCTTGCTCACGCGCTCCGCCTGCTTCTTTGCGAGCATAACTGTTTAGCAGAAAGTGGAGACGGCTTCCCAGTTCGGTTCGGTTCCAAGACCGGTCGCAAGGGGTCGCCGCCATTGATCAATTCCGAGAATACGGCGGTGCTCAGCCCAGGCAGGGCATACCGCCACCGTATATTTAACCCTGTCCTCATGTTGGTACCTGGATGACCAATCCTTGCACGGTATTTTTTCAGTAGGTAGGTAAATGAGCTAGATAGACTCAGAGGCGGCGTGCTACGGCCCCGCGGAACAGGGGGCCTTGTTGCGCCTCAAGAATTTTCATCTTTGGCAGAAAAGGGCCTCGCAAAATCTGTCTTGCCCACATTAAAATTAGGTCTTGCCCCGCCACTGGCTACAGTCTCCAGTTAAATTCAGATATGTAGGTAGATACATTAGACATACTTATAACTAAACAGTAAACCTTAGTAAACCTTTCCCTGTAGAGTAAGCTTGTATTTTTACTATTTTGAACAAGAACGCCTTTAGATGTATCTGGAGCTCAGATTGCAAACATTAACACAATTGCTAGCACCGCACAACCAGCTGCTGGCCTTGGTGCATTCGACACTTAACCCCCCTTTGATCAATGTAAGTATTTTAATTTTGTAGTTTTACAAGGGCTTTTTATAACGTTTTTTGTTAAAAAAAAACCTTAAAGTTCTTTGTTAAATTGCATGTTTTATTTAGGTTAAATAAATACTTTAAAAGAGAAAGCTATAAATCAACCTATAGTCACATAACACATAACCGTTTTTATATAACTTTCAGAGATCCATAAAGGAGCGACGAGTTACCTGTTCATTAATGGACGTCTTCCAGGTTTTCAACTGACAATTAGCACAATTGTGATTACTTTTTGTTGTGTGTACCTGCTAAGCAACGGTACCCGTTCCACTATATTACCATTGATGGATTTAAAAGTTGGGAAAAGCTTTCATACTTAAGTAAGCATCTGATTCTGTAAATGTAAAAACTGCAGAAGGCACTACACAACATCCTATATCAGCCGGGGTTGCGGGGTAAGCGCAATAAGGCACCGCGACCTCGGCCTAGAGCAGGAGAAGGAACGGGGTTTTTAGTTAGTAGGTAGTCGCCTAAACCTCCGGGATACCACGATAATAGGCACTACAAGTACAACAAAACACTATACTTTTATACCTATTTATGTATCAATCAATATTAAGTATGTGTAACAATCGGCTGGCAATCATGTCTAGAATTGCTTTTGACATAACGCAACAAGGCACGTGCCAAAATAATTGAAGACCATATTGGCACAACCCCAAATGATGGGGATGTCTATCTTTATTACTATGTACTTACAATGGATGCATACTTCCCATGTCTGATGCACTGAGATAACAAAAGCCGGGTAGTTATATCAGCACCCTAGACGTGTTAGTACATAAGAATATAAAAGGGCTTTTATGGTCTTGTCTTGTGAACTCTATTTAAATATACTAGCTTCCACCTGTGGCCCGCGAGATATGTTGATAAAAAGTAGCCTAAGTATGTCTTATTCCGGAGTGTATCCTATGCCTATGCCAAATTTCATCCAGATCCGTCTTGTAGTTTTAGAGTGATTAAGTAACAAGCATCCAAACATCGTTACTTTTGCATTTATGAAATTAAGTAAGATTATATTATTATACAGACCTGCTGAATATTAGAAAAATATGAAAGGAGATTATGCTAAAATTGTTGGAAAATCGATGCTATCACTCGAATAGAGTATTAAATTTGCAGCATTGCAGTTTCATTATTTTATTATAAGTAACTCTCTAATGGATAAGATTACAAAAAGGTTTGTACCAGTCAAAAATAACTTGTTTCCAATAGTAAGTCTTTGAGTATTTGATAATAGCTACGTATTCTATGGTTGAATTAATTTTATAGGTATATAGGAGAAACATAAAATGTAGCGTGTTGACTTTTCATAAAAAGCATTGAATTTCAAGTCGTTATCATCTGCTTGCTTCAGATTTTTTAGAGCGATTTGTTCTGACAGAAGTAGACTGTGTTGTACTATTTTAACTATTTATAGCTATCATCATTTACGGCAAAATTGTATAAGTTGTATAAGTGTAACTCTATCCATTCTATCGATTAGCGGCCGTGACATAATATTACTTATGAATGAACGTTGTCTTTCGTCCATGTTTATCATACCTATTCGTAACTCTAAAATTGTTGTTGGGTTAATTCTACCTACTTAATTAAAACAATTTTAGCGGCTTGCTATCATTTATTTAACTACTTAAATATTATCTAATTTACAAATTTCACCTATGTCAGAACAGCTATAAATAATTTAAAAAACGAGCATTATCGGGGAGATAGACGAAATAAAAAAGCGTGAGAGAATTTTGGCACTCCTTAGTGAAATATATAAAAAATCATAATAAATAGTCACTCTCAATTAAGATAAAAAAATCACATCAATAACATTTACGCATTATAATATTATCTAATGATTAGCTCCTACATTTTGTGCTGGTACTGGTGGGGCTTGCCCCTGCAGTGGTGCTTGTTGGGGAACTTGGTTGGTGGCCTGTACAGGGGCCTGTGGTTGGGCTGGTTGGGCTTGTTGAGCTTGGGCCGGTACCTGCTGAGCCTGACCTTGGCTAGCTTGTGGCTGTCCTTGAGGCTGAGCTGGCTGAGCAGAAGGCGGTTGAGCTTGATTGGCGTTAACCTGTGGCGCCGCTTGTACTTGTGCTACGGGAGCTTGTGCCTGAGGCTGCTGCCCTTGGTATTGACCTTGGGGAGGTTGTTGGTACTGGCCCTGCGGTGGTTGTTGGTATTGTCCTTGTGGTGGCTGCTGGTATTGCCCTTGTGGTGCCTGCTGGTACTGTCCCTGAGGGGCTTGTTGATATTGACCCTGGGGTACCTGTTGGTATTGGCCTTGCGGTGGTTGTTGATATTGCGGCTGTCCTTGTTGGTATTGTGGTTGTCCTTGTTGGTACTGTGAGGGATGTTGTTGGTAGGGTGGCACCTGCCCAGGAGGCATTTGACCTTGAGGGCCAGGCGGGTAGTATTGCTGTTGACCTTGGAATTGTTGCTGTTGTGCCATATGTTGTTGGTAAGCCTGTTGATGTTGGTAAGCACGGTATTGTTGGAGCGCCTGGTGAATTTGATGCTGAGCGCCGGGGACTGGCTGGCCGTGGGCGTCAACCTATAAAAACAAAAATTATCATGACATTATCATGTTTTTTTTCAATACTATAACAATGAACGTTTGTGTTTCGTATAAATAAAATGAGAACAATTTTAGTATTCCATGACTAAACTAAATAGAGATCTGTTGTATTATATACGCCAAAACAAAGGAATTGCGTTTTCTTTATATGCTTCATGAATACTAATGAGATTCAATATCGCTTGTACAAAACATAACGCAATATTACTTCATCTATATCGGCATTACCTAATAACGTTATGAATACATAATTGAGATATTTAGCTCTCACAAATATTCTTCAAGGTTTTTATACATACTCATACAACATACAGTCATTTGTTTACTGTTTTTTTTTTTTTTTTGTTGTTTGCTCAAAATACTTTGTCTACTCGACTTGACTTAGAAAACTACTGAAAATACTATTTAATAGCATTTATTTACTTAGTAAGTGTTTAGTAATGGGTGTTCCGGTTGCACATTAAGATTAATTTCAGAGGTTAGAGGACAGTGATTTCCTTATTCAGCAAAATTGCTTGGTTATCCTTATTTTCTGAAATCCTTGCTATCCCTACATAATATAATGCGTTCAATTTTATTAACATATGTACATTTATTAGTATAAAATCACTATACCACCAAGTATTTTTTAATGGGTTGAGTTTTGTACAGTGGTTAACGTTTATTTTTTGTGGGTCGGCATTTAGCCCCTTTATTGCATGGTGATATGCAATGATGCGGCCTACGATGATGCATGGCATGCCTATCCTTAAGCAATATATTCACACTTATATACGTACGATTCTAAATAACACCAATACTATATACAGTTTACAGTGCTTATTAAATGCTTTAACTAAAATTGCTTACCAAGCCACGCTGCTGCAGGTATCTCATTTCCTCCATCCTCCTTCTTTCGTACTCCTCGTACTCAGCTTGAGTGTAAACTTGATTCTCTTCCAGAGTCTTCCATCCTGTAAAGTCACATATTTACTTGTAGAACAATACAAATATGTGTAGTTATTGTTGGAAATATTAAAAAAATTGTGTCATTAAATTTCATCTAATAGTTTAATTATTATCCCAATTTTAATCTATGCTAATATTATAAAGAGGTATTTGTAAGTTTGTATGTAGGGGTAACCTTCGGAACTGCTGATCGGATTGACAAAATTCTTTCACTGATAGATAGCTACAATGTTCCTGAGCGCTAAAGGCTACAAAACATCACGCTCGCTACGATTAAATGGAGCCGGGCAGCGGGTGGAACCGCGCGAAAGTAGCTAGTAGTAGTATATGTCAAGTTCGTAAACATTAACCTCCTTATTACAAAAACAAGATTTATCTTTAGTTTAGGATTAACCCACTAAGTCAAGTTTTGAATTTTGAATCTTATTCTCACAATTGTGCCAGTTTTTGTATTTTAGACGTAACCTTAAGAAATACCTTGTTTTGTAATAAGGTTTGTATCGACTGTATCGACAGTCAAATGCCTTTTTAATGTTAGTAGGTATAGATTAATCCGTCCGTAAGTCGAGACTAGGTTCTAAATCCAAAATTTAGATTCATATGGAGAAGAACGAGCACGAAACTCCATTGTTACTCTCAAGGCTAACAGATACGCAGTAAACAATAGGGAAGTCTTTAAGACATTCCATATACAGTGAGAAAAATACGGCACCTATGCAACGGTCAAGGGAATTGTACAATGATCATTCAATTGAGTCGTACATGGCTTTGCACGTACCGACAATCAGAAGTAATCGGTTGAGCTGTTAAGAGATGCAAATTGCACTGTACATTCCTAAGTCTATTTTCGACCTACACCTTATTGCGGAAGACTTGCATCTCGGGATGCAGTGGAATTGTTGTTCAAAAAGTATAGAAGTTTCGAGACTATTTTTTTATGTATAAATGTAAATAGATTTTAGGTCATTGGTGCAGTCGCTAATGCGAGCCATCTAGACTCCAGAAAATCACATGGGTCGTGCGGATAGATTTGTATTATTTTGATTTTGATATATACTGGCAGAAAATCCTTTTAGCATTAAGATATGCAACTGCGTATATAAAACAAATAGATATTAAAAACTAAAAGTAAAATATTATGGCTATCTTTATACAGAACAATCTGGCTTTTTTAAAACTACACAATAATGTTTACAAAAAATATTCAGTTTAAAAGTACCTTCGTCTTGGTTGAACTCAGCCTTTTGCGTCTCAGTCATAAATTCGTTGAAATCAATCAAACCGTCACGGTTCTTGTCATTTTCCTTGAAGACATGTTCACGCATCCTCTCCATTTCCTCCGCCCTCTCATGCAAGTCCTTGTTCGGTCCTCCGGGACCGTACAACTTGTCCAACTCCTTAATGAACAGAGCCTTCACTTCGTCCGCGTCCCAAACGCCATTGCCGTCAACATCTGTCGATAATAAAATAAGACTATGACCGTAATAAATGTGAATAAATTCATTGAAATAAGAAAAAATAAACTTTTCTATAAGTAGTGTTTGATTGATTGGTGAAATGACTGGCAAAAAATGGATATGTATTTCTCGTAATTCGTTACAATGATAAAAAAGCTAAGGGATTTTTACGCGCAAACGTAGCCATAGTCATTTAACTTATATGTTTATTATCAAGTTTTCACCTTCAAACTTAAATAGAGCACGTTCGTGTCGACAGACGTTTAATGTGTACGGCACATAAATTAGCTGATAAAATAATTTTGCTTTAACGTTATCTCGAGTAACGTGTACTTATAAAGCGAACTCGAAGTATGAAATACCATTAACCAACCAGGTTTTTGCTAATTCAACTTAAGGGAGACATACATAAAAAAATTAATAATTCTATTTTAACTGCCATCATAAGAAGATTGAGATGAATGTGTAAATATTTCGAATTGCGGCAAAAAAACAATGAACAGAATTACTTTTAATTTTAAAATGATGTTCTACTGTAAAATGGTGCTATTACCTGGATCATTGATACCGCTTTATGTGAAACTGATGGTAGTATATTATTCAAAATGTTATGAACCAACTAACAACAAATAACAATTACCAAAACAAAAATCTAAACAAAAATTTGAAAGTTATAAAAAAACAAACGAAAACAAAATGGACACAATCTCATGCACAAAATCTACAGTATTATCATGCAAAGCAAATCAATTCAATATAAAACTGTATGGAAATTAAAATTACATCATAAATGAAAAAAAAAAATACAAATATGTACTCAAAACTACATGCAGGTATGTAAAATCCAAAGTAGCGTGCGGTAACCGTTGAAACTCATTTATTTTTCACTGTGGTCGATCGAGTTACCTACCGAGAACGATTACTTACTAATTCATGTTCTAAGTTTATACTTGACTTGCACGCTATGGATCTTACCATGCATCATGAAAAACACCTTTGCATTGAAATCTTTAGTATCCATATTGTCAGCGTTTTTCCATATCTCTAACAACTGATCCTTTGTCACGGGGTGATGAAGCTGTTACAAATAATTAATAATTAATAACTAATTCAAATCATCACTCACCATGCATCATGAAGAATGCTTTGGGATCAAATTGTTGTTGTTCCATGTGATCTTGTTTCTCCCACACTTCTTCCAGTTGTTGCTTAGAACCGGGGTGGTGAAGCTGCATTTTATCAACGTCATTTTATCAATTTTGAGTGACTTTTAGTCGTAGTGATAATGTGTAATTACAAGTCGAATCCGTATCGAATTAGGCGACAGAATCAGTCGGCCTTATCAACTGGTAGGTATAACAACGTCGATGTTTATAGAATTCAATACAACATCTTGATTGGGGGGAATTGAACTACTATGTTTATGTATAATTTTCCTTAAGACACGTCATACATTTAAATAAGAATAGAGTCGTCATTACTGGGTGGATTGTGGACTTACCGGCTTGTGATGTTTGATAGCCTCTTCCTCCTGTTTTACTTTTTCTAAGTACTCTTTCTTCTGAGCCTCTTCCATGCCCTCTACTTTCTGATGCTCTTCAAACTTCTTTTGCATTTCATATTCCTGAAAATCGATTTAGTCACGTTGATATTGCGAAACGATATTGAGAAAAAATTGGCTATCGAAATATACTTGATCGTAAAATATTCGGTACATTAAAGTTATCGTAAAGTATGAAGCAAGACTGTTTTTGTTTCAATTACACTACCTACTACTTACAATGTTAGTTTAGGCCTTGTATTATGAACCGTATTAACTTGTATTATGTACATATTTTTTATTTATCAAAGTACCTTAAACTCTTCTTTTCGTTTTTTGTCAGCGGCTTCTAAATCAGCGGTCGTCTTCTTGATAAGCTTTTTCAAATCCTCAATCTCAAACGTGTGTGGGTTATTATGATCTAAATGTTCGTTTGTAGCCACCTGTCCTGGGTGTTGTTCTAAATTATTCGTCAATTCAAATTGCTGTTGATGAAAAGAAACGTTTTACCATTATTTTAATCTTTCCCGTTATAACATTCATAATATATATCAAATAAAAAACTGCTATCGAAAAGTATTTTACTTCTAGAGAGATAGTTTGATTCGATCTCTTAAGAGGTCAGAAAATAGATACGTATTATTGAGGGATTCCCACAAGTATAAATTCAGGGGAAATTCCTTTTGTACAACCCCTTTTGCAAGTAATAAAAACGTAATCAAAGTTAAAAATAAAAAGTAAACAAGACATACTAGCACTACTCAATTAATCAAAGAGTTTCACAATAGGTAAGTCAAAGAAGTTATCGGGTAAAAGCCCCGGTTACGAGGAAATAAATACTTAAATGTCCATTTACCTTAGTAGCCAAATGACGTAGTCTGTCCAACTCGCGTCGTTTGATTTCGTCCAATTTTGTCCTTACATTGTGGTTAACAAAGTCCAGCTGCTCAGCAATCTTTCCAGACTACGGTATAACAATCAAAGTGTCATTTACGCAACAATACGTGACATTATTAATGATTTAAATGTTAGACAAGTCATGTAATAAACCATTTAATTGTGAAATATCATAGACGATTATATAGTCACATGATAATATTTAATTTCATTTATCTATATGTTCTTCGTACTGAAACCATAATTCCTAACACATATTCCAAAAAATATCCTTACCCGGACATCGTCTTCGTTCGCCTTTTCCAATCGCTCCCTGAAGTCAGGATCACTTTCAAGGGCTTGGACCACTTCTTTTAGGTACCTGTGATATTCCATGTATTCCTCCTATGGACAAAAGAAGATTTTGATGTTAGAAAAAGAAATGGCTAGGTGCATGTCAGAATCGAGCACGAAGACCTGCCTACCAAAATCCCGTTTGTTTAATGGGAGCTAACCGTGCATTCATATTCAGATGAGGTCATGAGATATATCCCTGGTAATAGACGGACAGACAACGTAGTCTTACTAATAGCCTAAATATTACAAAGACTCCGCTGTCCATATATGTTTTGCTAATTGGGTTCCGTTTTTTACCCTTTCATAAAGAACATGATACAATTTCGCTATCATTTTATTCAAACTTAGAATGTGTTAAAATGAGTACAGCAATGTTTATAAACACATTATGTAACAAAGTAACCGCTGCGGATTGTGTGTGTGTAGTTTGCACTACACTTTCTAAAGTACGGTTGAAAACAGGTTTTCTAGCTCAGATCATGAACCAAGTCGCTGTGCATAATTTCGCATGAGTATTTTATTATTAATTATTATTATTATTTAATAATTTTAGTATTTTATAAGTGGAACATATAATATGTGTATCGCTTGGGATTTCATGGTCTGCTTACATTTTTAACTTAACAGTTTAGTCATAGCAAGATGATAAAAAAATTTGGTCACGATAACATTACTTATTCTTCTGTCACAAAAATGGTTGTAATTAAAAAAAGAACAAAGTTGATTTCGTTTGTTTGTTGTTTTCAATCCTCAATATTAAATAACATCATGATTCAATTTGAATTTGAGGCATAGATGTACGCATTACGTAATATCAACGATGAGAATACAAATATACGACTGCAAAAATTTCCAGACTGCTCTTGTTAATAATATTTTGAAAATAGAAAATCGCAATATAACTATTCGAACTAGGAATTGGACTTGGACCCAGTATTCCGACATTCATGTTACGATCGCTTGACTAAGACGGTTACAAATGAAAAAATACGAAAATAATCATAGCATGATTGATAAAAAAAAATCATAGTTTCAACATCGTTCATTTCGTCCTCATCATCATGTGTAAGCCTTTTGCCGAGCAAACACCTTTTCTCACACAGAGACAGAATGAGCATTATTCACCACGCTTATTCAAGACGAATCGGCGAAATCAAACAAATAGTTACCCTAATAGAAGTCTAGATTCCAATTATCATATGTCGAGGTATCTATAGAATTTAAGAAACTATACATATTTCGGAAGCGCCTTTGGGACATGCCAGGTTTCGAACCCGAAAAGTGGTTGCTTTAACCTCTGGGCAACACGACGAAATTCCTTATCATAGCGACAGTTCATTACTGACAGACCGACAGCTACATTTTAGACGCAAGCAAATGTAGAAAGAGCTGGTCAAATATTAAATTATCTTGAGATTTATATCGCCAAGCTGTCACTCTATCTTCAGGAATAGAATTAGCACTTCAGCAACCATTATACCACAATTCCATAAATTACATTAATCACATTCCTAAGAGCTGTACATGCCATCATATACCCAATTTTATACCGAAAATGTAAAATTCTACATTTATTGATAGGTATTTGATTTTAACCAATCACAGCTACAAATAGGAAAACCCCAGTGGGTAATTCCAAGTCAGCCCAACACTTTAATGAGTAATATTTATCACATATCTATTGTTATTTCCCAAAGAAGAACACTACAAAGACATGTGACTTATTCCATTCCAAAAAGATTATTACCAAACACAGAGAGCAAAACTTGACTCCTTATTGGTATTTTTGTCTGTATTTTAAAATACAAAACAAAAGAAAATTAAGGATTTTTTCCAGGCATTCAGCTTTGGTTTTACTCAGTCACAATAAGAGTAGAATCTGAAATATGGCGGCCTATTACAATGGGACTTGTATAACAACTGGTAAAAATAAAAGGAGAAATTTAAAGAATACGATTTCCCTTGCAATTTGTTAATGAAAATATTATATCCAATATTACATAATTCATATTTTGATATATTTTACCGATACTAAGAAGTTTTTTTAATTATTCACCCCGCACAGCTGTGTCTTCATCAATCATATTTTATATTCAATTGCTCTTAAAACTTCGCTCTGCTCATTAAGCTAAACATAATAATAAATTAACGTAAATACAATCCTGTGTCCTATAAACATATATGAAAAATTGAATTGTTAGTAAAAGTAGGTCTGTAAACATGTTTACATAGTTTTCATAAATACTCGCCTCTAATCAAGTAGAACAATACATTTGTATTGTTGATTGTATCACAACATATGTGGAATCCCATGGGAAAGGGAACTATGCAATTAAAACGTAAGGTTCTATCATTATAATTACGAGACAGATATTGTTTCGGACTGGTTAGTTGAATATAAGACATCTGTTGAAAATACAAAAGCTGTGCCATATTTATTTCTTAAAACATTGTTATGATTTGAAATTTTATGAATCAATATTTCAATGAATGAATGTAGTATTCTTTATTAATACTTTATTTATTGTATTCACAGGTTGTAATATTTTAGACATAGAAAAGGAGGATATAGAACAATTACCTACTGCACTTTCACACATAAATACCTAGGTAGAATAGATTCAAACTATTGTTTAAAGCTGAGATATTAAAGATTATAAAAAAGTTACCTAGTTTTAAAACAATTGATTTGCCTTTTTGCCTTCAATATAAGCCTAATACCTAATAATTATTCACATTCTGTTTCCTAACATGTGTTTACACAATGGAAAGGCGTAAGTTATTAGTGCATAGCCATGCTATTTAAATACGGGATATTAAATAAAATTTATGAATCTTCTGGATTACTACTAAAACGATGACAACATTAATAATTATATCAAAATTAAACAAAACAAACATAATAATGTATACCTATCTTTTGTACATTCATACCCAAGATTTATGGTAACCACAGAGTCAATGACTTTACTTTTAAAAGTAGAAATGTAGAAGGCCAGTTGCTTCTATTTTTAAACTTGTAACCTTTTGTACAGAGCAAATGTACCGGTTATCCAGTATACTGAGAACTACCTATATAAGTATAAGTTATAAAGAAACATGTATTGGATACATACCAGGTCATCCTTGACTTCACTGTCTTGCTCATTGGACTTATCTGGAGTAACAGGTGGTGCATATGAACAGTGGAGTATCATCAGCAGAAATAGAAAACTTGACAGCAACTTCATTGTGACTAAAAGAAATTAATTATCTTACTAATTGATCAACAATTGTTATCTAAGCAATTAATTACAGAAAAAATAATTAAGCAATGATTTATTCTGTGGTTCAATGTTCTTATCAGATTTTGTGTTTGATATTATATTAGTGACGACATAGTGTAATCAATGATGAGTAACGGATTACACAAAATAACAAATATTGGTGTCCCATTATGTAGCTCAGAATCAAGGGTGTTAAGTGTCAATCCCTTTATTTACTCTTAATATTGCCATTATTATGTAATTAAATAGTCATCTGAGTAAAAAAAAATATTGATTTATTTCATTGATTAATAAGATTTTATTATAATGCTTTAAATAAACAAACCCCATATGAATTTCGGATAAAAAAATTGTACTCGCTAGAAATTTAAATATTTATTTATAAAATTAAAATACATTTTTTATTGATACTTACAAAGACTTCGTTGAACACAAATTTAATAAAAGCAAAATTATTTCATAAACACAATATTACGGAAATATACAATGTTTCATTACATTTGTTACTGCGAGCGATTTGTTGAAATGAAATTTATTGTCCTATTCTATTGACGTGTCCCAATCATCGCATAACCTCGAAAATAGTGGTGAACACTTGCAACTCGAACAAGAAATAGTCGATTATTGTTGTATGACCAAAAATAATATGTAAAACGCAAAATTTATTTGATTGATAAAATCCGCAGCTTTTAAACAAAAGCTGCGAATTTTATCATTCATTTAATTCACGATTTTATTATAACATTCTTTATTATTTTTTTAGGATTAGGTTTTTAATAAAGTAGACTAATAAGAGTTAAAATATGATATTTAAACATGTTTTGGGTCTAAGGCAATCCATTCATGCTGTAGTCCAATATTTGTTTCATATTAATCATGGTATTGTTACCAATCATTTTTATACTATTTGTTTTATTCTTTACAAAACCTTTGAGTACTATTTGTATTGAATTAAATACATAGGTTTTTAATTCAATACTTATCTCCAGTAACAGCATTATTGTAGGAAAGGGAGTATCAAATCTAAAATAAAAAAATTATTATTAAAAAAACAAAATACCCGACTGCACACTAAAAAAAGAGTAAAACAAGCCCCACAATACAAATTTACTGAATATAATTTATAAATGTTGATGGAAAGCATCGCAGGCGGGGACCAACAGAGGCTTATTTATAGTCATTTCTGTTGTGCACCATTTAGCAGAATTTTCGTTGGTGGCGGTCAAGGTGGTCCCCGCCTGCGATGCTTTCCATCAACATTTATATAAATTATATTCAGTAAATTTGTATTGTGGGGCTTGTTTTACTCTTTTTTTAGTGTGCAGTCGGGTATTTTGTTTTTTTAATAATAATTTTTTTATTTATAACTTTTTAGCTGTTTTTATTTAACGAAAATGTTGTAGATGTAGAAGACTATGTATATGTAAGTACCATTTTAAATTATTTCGACGACATTTGGCTTTAGATTACGAGTGATGTTACTCCGCAACATAAATTTACCGCCAATCTGGACTGTTGGTAGTGAAGAAGAAAAAGAATTAGGTGAGTCATTACTGCTGAAGATCCCGCAAACGTTTAAGTTCAGTTAAAGAACATTCGTCATTCATTAACATGTTCCCGTGGGAATTTTGAGAAAAAACGTATCCTATATTAATTACTCCCGTGATTGAAATGAATCTAATGATACCGCATACATATTTTTTTAAAGGGAAATTTAGAAAAAATATTATTATGTCTTTATCCCGTGGGACTTTTAGGATAAAATGTATCCTATGACACTCCCGTAATCAAGACAAATCTAACGATACCTCATACATCAAAATCCATCAAGCCGTTTAGGCTACAGGAGGTCACAAAGGAAAAGACATACATACATACTTACATACACTCGAAAAACATTACCCTCCTTCTTTGGCAGTCGGGTAATAAAGATATCCGTCGGAAAATCTGTTATAAATCTCTCATGACTTTAATGCTGCCGTCGCATTCAGCTTAAAATTAAAAAAAAGATCAAGTTGTATTTAGTTAGTAATAGCTTGCTTTTTAGCTTAGTATAAGGAATAAAAGAAAAAGTTCATTATTTGATTATCGTATTATTAATATGATTTTTAGAGATTATGATTTTAGGGAGATCAAACGTTTGATTTGCTCTCGCCTTCTAATAAATGTGATAAACATTTAAATTGTTTATGTGAACAATTCTTTATCTATCTTTTTAATCCATATAAAAACCGACGTCGGCAAGTTCAAAAATTATTGGTCTTATATAAAATATTATTATATCGCTTCATTGTCACTAAAGCAATGCGTGAATTGTTATGTTATTTTTTTATCATTATTCAACTGCACACAACTCTAGTAAACAAAATAGTAAGATTAAATGCCATGAATGGGAAGCATATTCCTAATTTATCTGTGATTGTTTTTGACATAAAGTACAGGAAGAATGACGTAAATGAAGCTTCTGCAACTTCCTATTTACCGTTTGTTTACATTTTTTGAGACGCCGTTGTCAACCAACACAATTTTATCAAACATTGACGATTGCTGTATGAAAGTAAAGAATGACTGACTTAATTACATTACACGTGTAACGATTGATTAAATAATTGTTTTTCAAACGCTAAGCAAAACGTATCAACCAAGATGAGAACTGTTCCAAAGTGGGTGAATAAAATTCATGAAGCCGACAAAGTTGAATTTTCCAGGTAAATACGTATTGGATCTGTAATAATCTTACTCTTGCGGGAAGACTAGATTTTATTTACTGCACCTGTACTTGTAAAATTTATGACAACGCTTAGTAATAGGTAACTAGTTTGATCAAAGTAACAAGAACAGCATCAGCAAAGTTCGAATAATATTATACTTTTATGTCCTTTATAATTACAAGTTTTCTTATTGGATTACCAATGATCGTTCTTATGGTTTAATTGTTATTCCAGTGTCCACGCGATATGCTTCAGTCCAGATGGTAGCCAGCTGGTGGTAGGTGCTGGTGAGAAGGTTATGGTGTATGACCCTAGAGATGGAGCGCTCGTTCAGTTACTCCAGGCCCACAAAGGAGCTGTGCATGCAGTTGCTTACTGTGGTGATGGCAAGAAGTTTGCTAGTGGCAGTGCGGATAAAAATGTTATTATATGGACTTCCAAAATGGAAGGGATATTAAAATATTCGTAAGTTAATTGTTTAGCTATATGCTGGCGTAATTACTGTCTTATGTGCTGAGTATAATATTTTCCACATTGTCCCCTTTTACTTATTTAAAATTGTGTTCCTGTTATGTTTTCAAACAGCCACAGCGAGCCCATCCAATGCCTGGCCTACAATCCAGTGACATACCACTTGGCATCATGTGCTCTCACTGATTTTGCATTTTGGTCTATGGATGTGAAAGCAGTCCAAAAGTACAGGGTGTCTGGCCGAATCACAAGTTGTGCCTGGTCCACTAATGGCCAGTACCTGGCAATAGGTCTGGCTATTGGTGCAATTTCTATCAGGGATAAGGTAAGTTAACATACGGATAGTTACTGTAGAACAAAACAGTCTAAAACCAGTAGACTTACAATTGCACTTCTAATTGGAATTTTAGTTTTATTCAAAACATAATTATTGTGTGACACTATGAGTGTACTAATGTATTAGTAACTAATTTCTGTTCTGATATGTAAAAATTATCTTTTACAATCAAAAATAAAATTGTTGTTTTCAGATGGGTGATGAAACATACAGAATAGCTCGGGATGCAGCAGTGTGGGCTGTAGCCTTTTCAAAGTCAATTTTAGTGGTAACTGATTGGAATGATACTTTGTCATTCTATAACACTCAAGGACAACAGATCTTGAAGGACAGAAATATTGGTAAACAATCATCTTTAACCTTACTCTTATTAGTTACAGAAATTTAGGGGGAGGTCTGTCCTCCTACAGTTCAACAGCATGTCATTTTAGCTTGTGAGACATAAGTAACATTTCTGAAGTTGAAATATCGGAAGAAATCACCCTACATCCCAAGAAAGGAAGCTCTCCAATTCAATTTCTCAAATAAACTTTAAACTATAAATAGTAAATTTAGAGTCTTTTAAGTACAAACATACATTGAAATGTTTCCATATTATAACATGTATTACTTATACATTTAGGTAAATTGATGTTTACATCAATTATCCAACCCTTGTCGCCTCACCCGCAATTTCATTTAGAGACTTTGATGTTTATGAGAGTCAGTAGTCATTATCTGGCCCCTTACTGCGACTTAGCAAAAATCAATGAAGGGAACAACCCTTGCTCTGTGAAAATTAAAAAACAACCCTATCACACAGCAGCATTTTATATAAAAGGGATAAAAGTCCCCTTATGTACAAATCGACCCTATGTACTTACAGATTAGTCTCTGTACCAAGCAGTGAGTCATCATTTCAAAGATTAAACAAGTTTCAGATCTGATATAGAATGTGTGAAAATTTTAATTCAAAGTAGAACTTAAATGTTTTGACAATATAACTGCTTTGAAATTTGAAATAAGCAAGGATTTTCTTAAATTTACTTAGTATTTTTGTTTGACATTCTACAAACTATAATGAATATGTATAATGATACTATTGCAGATAATACATTGTCCAATAAGGACACACAATCTTACAGATAATGATACATGTAAAGTTATGTTTACACATTAGGAATGTCTGCCAGGCAAGCTGAGATAGATGTAGGCTAAAATCTATTCTAACAATTTATTAATTGAATCCCAATCTTTCAGGCATATCTGCATTGTCTGTGACAATGCTTGGAGCACTGGTTCTGGTTGGGGGAATCGGTGGGTGGGCTGTTTTAACTTCAGAAGGGGTTCCTATACTGAACACTCCGCAGGAGTGGGTGTGGTCTATAGCACCCTCGCCTACTTTTAATAATCTGGTGAGATTACAGACAGAGTTTTTTTATTGTTATACCTTATTATCATATGTTGGACAGGGATGTACTTTGATGATCCTAATATATATAATATTTGTTGTTGAAATTACCCAATTTCAAAAACCACACGGTTTGCTCAGCCAGAAAGAAGTTATTTTAAGTTATGTTAGAAAATAATGAATTAATTCTTTATTTAAGTATTACTATTATATAATTTAGTAGAAATAAGTATAAATATTGACGTAAAAATATAATGATATAATGACATACTCTTTCATAGTAATAGTATTGAAATTGACTTATTGGTCCCTATTGTATGGATTGCACAACATTATGAAATGTAAACTAGTAAGTTTTTGAAAAATATTTTTATAGCATACAATCTTTTTCCACTCAATCAAATTGAATCTAAGAAATCATTTGTTTAAGCTAATGTATTACATTAGGCACTTATTCATATTATTATCACAATGTCTACTTAATGTCTAATTTTAAGTGAAGCGAAATAAAATGCAGTAATTCTATTCTAGGCAGTGGCATGTCAAGACGGTACACTATGGTGCTATCAAATAGTGTTTAGTACAGTACACGGATTGTACCGGGAGAGATATGCTTACAGGGAAAATATGACTGACGTCATCATACAACACCTTACAACTGGCAACAAAGTGCGCATCAAATGCCACGATAGAGTGCAGAAAATTGCCATATACAAACATAGACTAGCTGTAAGTATGTTGTTGATATCACTACAAAGTACAAGATGAAGTTGCTTTTCCTGTCCCTATATATGTTTGCTTAAATGTTTAAGACTACGCAATGGATTTTGATGCGTAGATATTGTGATTGAAGACTAAGGTTTATATGTATAATAACATCCATTAAATGGTGGTAGATATTTTGTATCGGTATTGCTCCCATGCGAAGCCGAGGCGGGTCACTAGTTAGATTAAATATTGGCTGGTCCATCTATACTTTATCGACCTTCTGGCACTTTATCGTAAATCAAGCTCAAGTCTAGATTCTGCGAAATAAAACTAAGATTTATAGGTATTCCGCAGTCAAAATCATGTAATCTGAACTTCAAAACCTAGATATTTAGTGGAACAAATATTAAATTTTAGTTGTAAAAAGAACTTAATGTAGTTTTGTATGTAGTTACGAAGTTAAAAATATATTACAAATGCTTTAGCTATGGTTATCCTCTTAATAATATTATAAGAAATTGGTACACTAGCTTATTGCCTATAGCCTCTTGGATGTATAAATAAATAAAAATAATGATACTTACTATTGGTGTGCTCAGTAGTCTACCATAACTTGTCTGAATCTAGACCTTCGAGTTAATGAAATTCCATATAACTTTCAGGTACAGTTACCGGAACGCGTGGTTGTGTATGAACAGGGTGACGTTGAAGGTATGCTGTATAGAGTAAAGGAGAAGTTGCCTCAAAAGACGGAGTGCTCACTTCTCGTTGCTACCAGCGACGCTTTGCTTTTATGCCAGGTAATATTCTGTTTGTAGATTTAATTAAGTAAGTATAGCTTTTGCAAATTGTTGTTATGGTTCGTTATGATAATAATAACAAAACAGATCGTAAATAAGTTCCAATTGATACACTTGACTGGGCGGTTAGCGCGGTGGCTGGGCAACCGGCTGGGGCACAACGTGTCGCGGTTTCGATTTCCAAAGATTACCCCCTACATACAAACTTACAAATTTTACCTCTATAAAATATTAGTATATATAGCGGTTTGGTATTTATTTAGCTGACTTCCATATTTTATTAAGGATGGAAGTGCGAGGGCAGGGCTCGCCAGTCGCTTAAAATACTCTGCCTTGCTAGTTTTTGCGAAGTATTGTGAAATCTGAATAAACATATTTATTCCATTGGAGTTACATTTCCCTTATTCATCTCCATAAATAGATACACTAATCACCCTCAATGAACTCATAACAAGCAAGAAACGCTGTGCGATGTATATTATTAAATGCTGTGCGTTAATTCTTTTGTAAGTTTCCTTTTTTAAGTAATCTCTGCATAATTTCATTTAACTCAGCTCAGCGATGTTAGTATGTTTTGCATTGATAATTTCAAATGATTGGCACTAATTACTATATTCAAAATGCATATCCTTTAATGTTTTAGGTATTAAACGGCTTTACAATTCTCTCTGCACGACAGAAAAGTTGGTTTACAACTTTGTACACGATTGAATACAACCTATGATCTGTTTAAGAATGTTTTAAAATATGAATTTTATTCCAGGATACAAAATTATCGATAATTGGGCGACAAATGCCGAAATCGTGGACAGTTCCTGCTCCAATTCGCTATGTCAAAGTAACAACTCTATATTTTGAAGAAGTTTTACTATTAGGATTAATGAATGGACAGGTAAGTTTATTGATTACTGATAAATTATATACTTTACCTTACATACGCATAGAAAAACAAACAAAGTAATTGTGTATTGTACATAGAGAAAAGAATTTAAAAAAAGAAAACTATTGTAACACTTTCCTTTCTATACAACAATAACCTGCACCCCACTTTTAAGCAGTAAAAATATCGAATATGTGAAGTAAATTACATTTAAAGTCACTAAAAAGTCTCCTTCTTGACAATCAATTCGAATCAACGACTTAGTTTGATTTGATGAAATTATAGTGCTTAATACATACTATGCAATAATTCATTATTTTCAAAATTATTACATTTATTTACAAAATTGTACTCACATATGCCATCTGGAGTTCACCACACAACACAAATCCCTGGCACAGAATCACGGGCTAACATTTTAACATTGAAATAAAAGTACTGTATAATTTTGCATTATGCTTCACAATCCGACAGGAATGAAACGAGATATAGCTTAGTAGTAAAAAAGAATTGCTCATGCATCTGATTGAACACTACAAGGGGCCTAATTCTGATTGGCGTAGCCTTGAAAACTGACCAGTTGGACCTACAAGAAGGGTTGTGGACATCTGTCGTTCAGTGTCCAGTTACACATTAATACACACCTAGTATTTCGATAGGATTAATAAAAAAATTGTTCCCGAATGGAGTTGAATTTGCGAGGGGTCTGTCACAATTAGCTACTGTTGTTTGCTGGCCTTGGCTAAGGTCCAGGTGCGCGGTTCCAGCCTGCAGCTGGCGCCCAATATCTAGATTTAACATAATGGACGATCAAAATAAAAAAAAAACATTGATTGCATGAATAGCGCCACGTGTCTTTTGTCCATTCATTTCCCATGAGAAATCAGAGTCCACGTGTACCCTCAATCATGGTTGTTTATTATGGTACCCTCGATTGTGCCTATACATTGAAATGCTTAATTATGTACCGTTTTTGGGTTTTGTTGAAAAGAAAAATTAAACCGCTACAGGGTAGCTTCCGTAGCTTCTATGTGCATCGGGTTGTCCATGTAAAATTATTGTTTTATTCCGAACTCTTCTTCGGGAGAGTATTGGCTGCAGTAGTACCTAAAATCTCACAAAAGAGTATTTTAAAGGATTAATTATTACTAGAATTATAAGGAAGTCGAAACCTTGCGAATTTGGTAATGTAAGTAATCATGTTTTTTTTATTTTGTTCCTGTATTCACAGATATGGCAGGTAGAGCCTTGGCAAGGCAGCGCTAAAATGGTGCTGCACACTCCAGCGTCAGTAAGATGCTTAGACGTGAGTGCTTCCCGCGCCTACCTCGCCGTCGTCGACGAGTCTTCTGTTTGTAGAGTGTACAAACTTGCCACCAGTGAACTGCTATTTACGGTGAGCAAGAATTTATGAGCTTAATTCTACATTATTACAACTATTTTTATGTCTTGGTGTGATATTGTGGATATATCCTATTTTATTAGTTTAAAATTGTTTTTAACTTTATATATTTATACTCAAGTACATGGCCAACAATATCCAATCAATCTGCTTGAAGTAATTAATGATCAGCTTTTTCGAAATAGTTATGACAACGGCTCAAAGATCAAAAGTCCAGTTTTAGTATTCTTTCGCAAGGCACGAGCCTATCTTTGTGCTTTGTTTTGCTCAAGTCAAAAAGAGCCCTCTGTTATTTGGGATTTAATTAATTATACCCTTTCGTACAATAAGAGCAGCTTTATGTGTTCTCCTATGTGGTTGAAATCTATGTTCTGAAAAGCTAAAATGTTATTTCTGCTCAGCAAATAAAACTGTATTTGTGTTAGTTACTAAATTTCTAAAATTGCTGATTAAGTTTTCAAAAATAACAAACCAGTTTTTACAAATACAAGATTTTTTAAACATCCTATTCTTTTTGACACTTGTCTTATAGTGTTACGAATTTATCCGGAACAGCAACAGTTTGGGATAAAAATATACCAATGTGTTTATAGAGATACGTTTCCTTAAACAATGGTCTATAAACTACAACCAGAGCTTAAGGAATAGGCAGCTGTATCCCCTAAAGTTTTGGACCTAACTGCAATCCCGGAGCGCGGAACGTGGGGTGTCTCTTATTTTATCAGTGAACACCTTTGAACAGATGTTATTATAAATGTTTTACAGGAGGAGAACATATCCTCCGTGTCGTGGAACTCTTGGTGTGATGAACTGCTCAGTTTGTCTGGTGGTGGTCTACTTTCTATAAAGGCCTGTCGGTTCCCCCCTGCCACACAACCGCTGGCTGGCTCCGTCGTTGGATTCCAGGTAACAATATTACATTATAATCCTGCATACACCTCGTTGTTGTCAGATTTTGTGATAAGTGTACCTAGGTACTATAATAGTTTTCTGTTTTTATGATATTGCATGAAATCACAAATCCATTGGTCACGCTTCACGCTTACCTCATAAACGTGAGCGAAGTGAATTTTGATATTAAAAACCAATAATAAATGAGTTCATCAAGGCAGAAGTCAGATCACTCGTTGAAGAATAACCAGCTTGTTAGTATTTTTGGGATATAGCAAAAGATCACATGAATCACCTGATGGTCAACTCTCAGCGCCACCCATGGGCGTCTCTAACCCCAGATGAATTACAAGTCCGTTGCAGGATTTTTGGTTTCTAGGACTTTAACGATTGGTGGAATGGAGCTTGGTTTAGGTAAATTTAGACGTCTGCACCCATACGTCGAAACACAACGCAAGCATTGTATCACGAGTGCTTTTTACGATGCCGTGGTGTCTCTTCCGTCGAACCGGCCTATTTGTTTCAAAGCATTGGCTTCCAAACTTATCATGGCCTGAAAAATGTAACGACGTAAGTCCCTTAATAGTGAGCTATTTAACGGACTTTCATTCTATTTTATTCTACGTGCTCCTAACACGTGGCACCGAAATAGGTCGAACCACATAAGTTGATTTTGAAGACATACAATTGGCAGCAATAGGCCCTAGATGAGGAAGTAATCTTAGTAAAAAATACCCCTTTACTAAGCCAATCACAAAAGGCACACATACAATAGCATCCATATCCTATCCTGTATTCTTTTTAAAACCTTGACCTTGATAAACCGAGCCATTGATGTGGCACCCTCTTATCTAAAAATGGGTCAAGTTTACTTTAGTCCTACACAAAATGTGTATTCTGTTAGTACTAGCTGAACTAGCGAATTCCGCCCCGCTTCGAAATTAACTAAATTGTCAATTGTTTAGTAGGATGGAAAATATGATTTTATTAATTTTCTTACAATTTATTCAAAGCCAAAATTAGCCCAATTGATCCAGACGTTCTTGAGTTTTGTACAAGTCTAACGATCAGCTTTTCATTTATATAAAAAGAAAACTTTATTACTATTTGCAGGGTGGCCGAGTGTTCTGCTTGCAAGCCAATTCGATGCAAACTATCAACGTGCCCCTCTCTCATGCCGTTCATCAATATATTCACCATAAAATGTTCAAGTAAGTATCCGTATTTCCATTGTCCAAGTCTTAAGAGATGTAAATATTCACGTACTTACTAGTTTTTCTTAAAAGTGTTTTTTTCTAATATGAATCAATCACCAACATTCACCAAAGAGCGTTTACTCTGTACGGATAAATTAAATAGAATAAAAATAATAAAATACATTTTCATGTAGAAACCACAAATATCTTGTAGTGGTCACGGAATTAAATTCGCACAGTATTTTAATTTCATACATTGTAAAGTTAAAGGGGATTTTTAAATCATTTATTCTTTATTTTGGATGTGCTTTTGTGACCTTTTGTAATGTCACTCAAACCGTCGACAGTTCAATGTGATGAGGAGATTATAACCAGTCCAGTTAATAATATATCCATTATCCAGCCTACCTCCTATAAATTCTGCATAAAAGGGTTTTTGTATTCTTATAAGAGTATGAGAGCGCCATGTTATAAGTATGTATGTAGTTGTATTCAAAGGCAAATGATAAAAATTTGTGTTACAATAAAGTACTGTAATAACGCACTTAAATATACGGCCTGATATATTATTTGGTAAATCTTTTTATCATACATGGACCGTTACAGCTGCAAAAGTTTTGCAAAATATTTTTGTTCTTATTGGAATCGTGTAATCCGGTTCTGTGTCGTACAGCGGCCGCGAGGGTTGGAACCCTCCGTTTTAGTGACGGGTATATATACCGACGTGGGGAGAGCGCTCCTCACTGTAGATTAAGTTTCCACCAGTGACAATTGTGTTCTTCTCTTCCCGTATTCCAGTTGTCCGCGAAAATAATTCAGTGGTTGTGAAAATAATGAGTTCTTCTTAATAAATCGAAGTGTTACAAAGATCTCTCATACTTAAATTGACCGTGAATTACACTTCGAGTTATTAAAATCGAAATACAGTGGTTTATTTGGAAAATGCTACTTATTTAATTGGTCGTTATATTTATCCGAAGTGGTATCGAAAGTGAGTGCTATACATCAGTTACTACTAATGATTGGTAACTAAACTTTCATATATGTATTTGAAACTTCATAATGGCCGCTGACACCGACATCGTTGTACCCGATGATTTTTTGTAAGTACCTTCTTTATTTTACATTTTTTTACATTAATAATATATACCTCTTGTTTCTTAATACAATGACAATATTTAAAATACATATTTTTTCTGTTGTTATGTTAATTGATTCTAAACATTGCAGATTTAGCGTTTTCGAAGAAAGAGCTCGGGGTTAGAGATCCCGGCAGTTCGAAATGAATGCGGTGAGACAAGATCAATTGGTCTAGTTTATAAGGTATGTATTGATTGTTGAGTATTATTATTTTAATCATTTTATTGTTTAAGCTCTTCGGATAACCATTTTATTTGTTTCAGATAATGTAAGAATAAGATATGGCTAAAAGTTCGAGCGGATTCCTGTTGGTTCCTGTGTTCAACTTTCAATAATATCAAGACGTTTGCCGATTGCAAACTGCAGAAGAGATGACCCTGGTACGCAGCGCAGACCAACCTCCGGTGCACCGTATCTGAATTTAATTTATTAGCTTGGGTTCAATTCGAGGTAACCGTTGTCATTATTATTAATCCGCATAATAGACTAAGTATAATTTAAGTGTGCATAACTTGTGCAGTCTCTAACTATAGAATTATTTTAAATTCTTCTTCCAATTCTTTATTCCTTACATAATTCTAGATTTCATAGAGCACCCCAAAAATGTGATTTGATTGTTCCGACACGCAATTCGATTCGTCTTGTGATTTTATTATTGGCTGTATCATGGAATTTTTTTGTCTTCCAAAATTGTTATTGTTCGTAAATGTTTTTCCTATGAAGTCTAATTTTATTATGTTTAGTTTTTCAACTTTTACTGGTGTTTTATGCTCATGCAAATTATGCGTATTTTTGTAAGGATTTATATTATGCGGATTTGTAATCCAGACAATCTGGTTCCCCTATGTTGCTTAGAAAATATGAAACAGAAAACTCAAAATGGAAAATTGTGTTAGCGACACAGGATTATGTTTTGGTGTAATTCGACCCAATATTTATTGTTTGCGTATCTGTTGAATATTGGAACCAATCTGAATTTCTTTGTAACTTTTAAGCAGCTTCGCGGCTTTTTTCGCTTTGCGTTACTTTAGGCTATGCGCTGTTTTTGTTTTAACGTCAGATTTTTAGGATACAACCAGCTATCATCTGTAGACCTGACATGACAAAAATTACTGATGACTATTTCGAACATTGTATTGTTGAAAACTGGTACCTAATTAACAAAATATAATATTGAGTTCTTAAAGATAGGTATTAGAAATTCGTTCTACCTTTGATCTCGTGTTTAGAGTATAAAACAAAACCAAAAACACATAAATAAGCACTATTTTTAAACGTTAATAATAGTACCACGGCATCAGGTTTTAAAGATTTAAGCTACCAAATTGGTTTGACTGTCACAGCACTCGTATGTCACATTTACGCATGTACAATAAAAATATTCTAGAATATTCTAAATTTAGTAGTTGGGTGAATGCAATACTGCCTAAATGTAAACCCTTTTTTAACTGTATCCAGCGTTTAAACCAGTAATACCAAAAACTTTATTTTTCTAAAATACTATATTTTATCGACGTTGTACCCTATATACATCACATTGCCTGACTTCTAGAAAGAAAAATTGACCATTCAACGATGCGGGCCAGGGGGATAATGATGAGACACACATTTAAACATAATCTAGTGACAGTGATTGATAGTAAAGGTCGAAAGTAAAACAATAATAAAATAGCATATTTCACTAGTGCCCCAGCGAACTACTACTTCAAAATTAACCAATATTTTCTGACGTTGAAACCTTTTCTGAACTTCGACGATTACTTAAAGACCAAAATTAGTCAAATCAGCCTAGCTGTTCCCGAGTTTTAGCTAGACTAACGAACACCAAATACATACATATACATAAGATCAAAACTTATTGGTATTTAGGGTAAAACAAAAATATGTATTTGGCATTGAATGCCAATTATTGAAGTTAAAATAAAAAAGACAGCAAAGGCTACAAAAAAATATAATTCATGTTAATTGATCAACTTAGTTATTGTAAGGTTAATCATCAACAATATCATTCATGTCGTGTTGCTATGCAAAACTGTTTTGTATCTCAAACACGAAAGAAAAGAAAGAAAGAGATATAAACTGCTTTCTAAAAAACTATCTAACCTAACATAAATACATTAGGTATTGACAGGTCAACAATCAATTCAAATCCATTTTAGTAACTTCGATTTTAATATTTTTGAAACAAAACGCAATATTTTTCTCATTTCAATGCTGTTGAGTTGAATTACACATCTTGGCAAAATCATTCAATTCTCCAACGTTTAGGCCATATAGTTTCAAAATGCATTTTTTACCTCAATAAGAGCTGAAATTACAGAAGGTACTTTTAGGATTAACGGACATAGTCGGTACTGAATTATGTGCATTGCGTATTGCGCACGCTCGTTAAAAAAGATCTTTAAGTCTTGTAAAAAAAATCTGGCCACAATGCGTTGTTTACAGGGTAAACGTCGATGATTACATGTACATATAACATTTTTACATGGAAGTATTAAGTTCAGGATATAAATTATGCCGTTTGAGAAAATAATATTCAAAGAAAATAATAAATTATAATGAAAATATTTTACCATATGCCATACAATACTAAGAAATTATGTAGTTTTTAATACAATTTAACATTAGCGCCATACCAAAATTTAAAAAAAGGTATTTTTTAATGAAGTATTGTAATGTAAATGTTAATACAGTCTATATAAAATTACAAAATTAGAATTCTATTGATCAGTACTTAATAGGGATGGTGATAAAAAGTAGTTAAGTTCAATACTTTTTACTAATTTTAAAAACGAAACATTATTATGCATCAAATATTATAAACTATTTCATCTACTTCTCCTTGTCTTCCTACAAAACTCATTAATATAAGCTTAATGTAAATGTTATTTTAATAACTCTAATTTATGGAAACAATTAATTTTTAACCGAGTTATCATCTCTAATCCTATTCTTATAAAATCAAATTATGCCTCGCAGCTTGCAGATAATAATCTGATACCGCCTACGCTTCGCATATATCAGCTTTTATACATATTATACTTTAGCTATTTAATTACATAGCTCAACATGAATCATGTCTGAAAAGAAAGTAAGAAATATTGATAAATATATCGATACTAAAAAAATAACCATGAAAAAGTTTGCTTTTGTATCCAAGAGAAAAATTTAACTGTACATCTAAAAATCATCATTCATTACTCAACATATAATAATGACACGGGTTATAACGTGACAATACAAAAATCAAACTCAAAAGTATAAAAAACCTACTTGTGCAGGTCTAACATATACTTTATAAAATTTTTATATGATATTAGATTGTAAAATAGTAGGAATAAGTTTAAAAGCGAATCCTAAAGCATTTTGTTTATTAATCCTAGAACTACTCACGCACTCGGTCACTTTAATATCAACCCAAAATCCCTACTCTTAGTTAAATTCAAATCTCTTATTACAGTCTTCTGAGGTTAGAAAATAAGGTTAGGATGATTCTTGTGACAGAAGTAATTCTTTATGGCCATGTTTTTTTTTAATTTAATTCAATATTGTTAATTAATTCAACGAAAAGAATTGATTCCACAAAAGCAAACTTTTTCTAAAGAATGAGGGTTTTTTAAAGCGAACAAAAAAATGAGGGTTTTTATAAGGAAAAATCTCAAAAATCTATTTCAGGACAATGCCAGTTTCTGTTATATTTATAAAAAACTCATAACTTTGAATTCCACTGATACTTCAGTTCCCTATATCGATATATATACACACATACAATTACCGTTTTCTGAGTAGATAGTGGTTCTTAGTAATTTTTCGAATACTACAACAATTAAAAAACCCTTCTTTAATATTCGGTACCGCCGCTGCAGGCGCTTGTG